CAATTGGGATAGCGATTGGAATTGTGATTGCAATTGGGATAGCGATTGGAATTGTGATTGCAATTGGGATAGCGATTGGAATTGTGATTGCAATTAGGATTTCGATTCGGAGTGATGCTCAAAATGAGATTCAGATTGTGGCTATTTTACTTCTTTTTTTTTTTTTTTCTTCGTGAGGTGTGAATTGTACGCAGTCGAGGTGACAGTTGAGACCCCCTCTGCGGGGAAATTTTCGCGGAAGGGGATTCCTCATAGGGAGGGTTTCTTTCGTTGGGGCGCGACGCGACGCATACATATTAATTGCACCCCGGGGGGGAACAAAAAAGGGGAAGAGCACTGCGCTGCCGAAAAAAATAAATGGCGCGGAAGAAAGAAGCACGAAATATGTGCATGACGTTAACCTAAATCGCTACATTATCGCACTTATCACATGGTCATACTTATGACATCATCGCACTGATGACATTTTATCGCACTTGTCACACCCTCGCGGGAGGAGAAGCAGCGGGGGGACGGCTACACAATTTTTTGCCTGCACGATGGGGCTCTCCCGGCGAGCCCCTAATACGTGTGCGGGACGTTCGGGTCAGGGTAAAACCGGTAGCAGTCGGTAAGTCCCCTCCGATGTAAAGTATTAGGTTGGTGCTCCACTAGATCGTAAATCTTTTCCGCCAAAGGGGTAGTGCCATCTTCGTTAAACTTAATAAAGTTTAACTCCTTCTGGTAGAGCCATCGATTTGCCCATAAGTCCAAAATCTGAAGAGGTTTTCTCCGTTCATCTTTCATTTGGCTCTTTGTATCGATGATGATGTCATCGATTTTGAGAATAGTGATCCAGTGTTTGATTCGGAGGAACCTACTTGATCTCCTGACCTTCTTATATCGAAAGCTTAAAATTTCTTTACTTAGGGTTATCTGCTCCACTGTTGCTTTCACTCTGCAGTAGGGCACTGTGGGCTTTCCAATGATAGTAAAATCTTTGGACCCCACGAGGAGGACCGTTCCAAAGTATACGATATCGCCTGCTTTCTTTCGATGTAATTTCTCTGTCTGTACAATGTCTCCAATGGTTACCTTATGCTCACTTATAAAATTTGACTTGAAAATGCAGAACAGGTCTTCTGTCCCTTTGCGGAGCACGTGCTGCACTTCTCTGGGAGGTACCTCGTCGTAGTTCAATTCGATTGTGGAGGCGCCTTGGGGGAGGGGATCCACCGACTCACCCCTATGAGGTGGATCCGCTTCATCTGGTTGATCTGCTTGACCTGCTTCACCCGGTTCATCCGCTTCTCCTGGATTACGTGCCTCCCCCCGTGCGTGGTGCCTCCGTGTCGGATTCCTATTTCTGGCCTTCCTCCCCCGGGTCAGCGTGCCATTCATTTTTCCACTCCGCGGGGTGCGGACGACATTGGTGTCTGCTCCCTGGCGGTTATCCCCTATCTGAGGAGAAAAATAAAGTAGAACAAAATAAGGTAAAATGAAGTAAAATAAAATAAAATAACGTAAAATAAAATAAAGTAAAATAACGTAAAATACACACGAGAGGTGGCACATAATTGTGTATCTATGTCAGACACGTCGCCAATTACACATGGGCGCCACCTCCCAGTGGGGGTCCTCCCCTTCCCCGTCCGTGCAAATCTACACACCGCTTTGCATTACCTGTTTGATGGCTGCCTCATCCGCTGAGGCATCCCTCCGCTGAGGGCAAGCATAGCTCCTCTCCTCAGCGCAGATGCCTTCCTTCCCTTTAAAACGAGTGTAGGGCAAATTTTTGTGCAAAATGAACATACACGAAGGTTTGTTCATCGGAAGGAGGCAATGCAGGTTCTTCCACTTCCTCGCAATGGTTACTTTTTTCCTGTAGTTTTTGGAGGTGTTTCTCCATCGTATCTTCAGATCCTTGTACGTTATGAAATTGTTCAGATTTTTTTTTTTCTCCTCATTCGGGTGGACTGGGAAGAGGGGGGGGTTGATTTTCCTCTTCCGGTGCTTCCCCAGCATGAGTTCCTGTGGAGAGGGTTAGTGGAGGGGTGGGGCAGCTGTATGTCAAGTGAGTGAAGGTCTGCACTGGCGTATGTACGTGCATGGGTCTCCCCCCGCGGCTTCTTTTTTTTTTCAACATACTATTTTGTGCCCCTCCTGTCTGCGGCAGGGGTAATAGGTCATGCCTCGACTCGCTGAAGGTTACGTGATGGAGGAAATGGGAAAGGGGGTGGAAGTGGTGACGAGCAGTCACATCGTGGCATGTTGCACGTCGCACTTTGCACATCGGAGCGGTCCAATTTGTCATGCCAACAGTGACAGGACAGCCGCACCGGATACACTACTTACGCATGCGGCCGGGATGCTTAGCGGACATGCCAAAATATGCACCGCCCAACCACAGCATGTCCCATTGTCGACCAGCCACCCCGAGGAGGGTTCCTCGGGCGCGCTCCATCCTGAGGGGTCAACACCAGATGGGATTCTATGATAGATTTTCCTGCCCGTTGGGAAAGGCCTCCAAAAAAAAACAACTAAAGGAAGAAATCAAGTGCACAATTTGGATCCATGTTGATAAGGGACAAGCGTGGAGTTTCCTCCCAGTTCTGCTGCGGTGTGCTTTGCTCTGCTGTGTTCTCCTCCCCTGTGTTCTCCTCCCCTGTGTTCTCCTCTGCTCTGCTATGTCCTTTGGAATGCCTTTCTCTGGAGAGTGTTCCTTTGGAGGTATGCTTAGTGGGGGGCACCAATGGGTTGGCTAAGTTGTCACCTCTGAGAGGGGGCCCATACAGCACGCACCGGGGTAAATTTATGTGGGGTAATCATTTGTGTGAAGGGATCATTCATGACGGGGTATCATTTGTGTGAAGGGATCATTCATGACGGGGTATCATTTGTGTGAAGGGATCATTCATGACGGGGCATCATTTGTGTGAAGGGATCATTCATGACGAGGCATCATCTATGTGAAGGGATCATTCATGACGGGGCATCATTTATGTGTAGCCCCTGTTCACCAGCAACAAAAAATGAGTCATCGGTGGGACAGATGCGGGACTCGACCGCTGTGGCTAATTTTTTGTCAAACACGGTCATGTTGGAGCCTTCCCCGGGATGGAGAAAAAGTTGGGGGGAGAAGGATGCAAAACGGAGGTGGCCCCCTCGCACAGGCGATTGCACTATCGCGTCAAAAAAAAAAAATTCACTGCACAGTGCACACGATTGTAGGATGCACATTTAGCAACATCGTTGGTCTGTTCACTTTCATCGTGTAGAGCTTCCCCGGCGGTGACTGCGTCCGGTACGTTCGGAAAAGCGGGAAGTGGAAAAACCATTCAACCGCTTAACCCCTTAACCGCTTTACCGCTTTGCCAGGCCCGCGCGCAACCGCTTGTACTCGTTGGCCGCCCTCTCCATGCGAATGAGGCGCCGCATGTCATCCTCGTAGTGGGTATTCTTAACGAAGAAGTCGTTGTCGAGCTGGGCCGCACCAAACGGAGGATACCTCCTATCACCCGTTCCGTGGAGCTCCTTGACCATTTCGAGGGACTCAAAGATGAAGGGCTTCAATTTCTCCAGGGTCTCTGTCTCGTACTGGTCAGCAAAAGGATGCATCACCGTCCCGATGGAGTTTAGATGAATCATATTCTGAGGAGTGGACAACTGAAAGGGGCTACTCACTTCCACGTTGGAATACTTGTTACGAAAATCTTGTATGGAGGATTTCCTTTTATAGTCATACGACAAGAAGGTGTAAAAATTGTGACAGAAAATCTCAAAGGTTAATTTGATGTTGTTGTCACTACGGTACCTGTATATATATGCCGACTCAATTTCGTTCAGGCACTTCATCATGCACTTTAATTTGTCTTTGTCTTCCTCCATTCGATTATTTAAAAATTGGTCGTAACTGGAGGGGTTATAAATGTTACTTACGATGTTATTCATATTTTCAATGAAGTGATATTTTTTATCTTCCTCTTCCAATTTGAGTATTCCTTTTTTTCTTTCCACTGGGATGATATGGAATCTCACCCGGACGAAGTCATCGTATTTTAATGCATACTTAATGTCACTGGTGTAGACGAAGTCAGAGTTGCCGCTCCCGCCAATGGATCCGTTTCCCTCATTTATCCTCCTGAACACGTCATACAGAATGGCAATTTTTTTCACTATATTTTTGTCCACTGTGTTTTCCTGCACCTCGTCGAACATCCCCTGACCCTTCAGCTTGGCTAGCAGGCGTTGCAGCCTGGCCTCTTCCAGCTGCCCTATCATGTGGAACGGTGGAATGATGAGGCGGTGTGACCGTTACGTGGCTTCACTCCTACTCGACTGCTACGTGGCTTCACTGCTACACGGCTGCTACCCCGTCTGACCGCTGTGCTGCTTTCTGCAGAGGGGAAACTGTACCGCGAAAATGGGAAAAGACAAAACGGACTTAGGGGTGACTAAACAAAGGGGACCCAATGAAGCAGAGATACTTTGTTCTGCTTCATTATGTTTTACTTATTTTTTTTTTTTCCGCTTCATTACAATTTAATGATTTTTTTTTTTTTAACGCTCACCTGTTCAGCAACCCCACTGCGCACAGGTGTGCACTTCCTCCTGCCTGTTCGTGCGGCATACGACGAAGAAAAAGGGGGCAATAAAGGACGGTGAGCGGGGCGCGCAGTTGGGCAGACGACCCTTCTTACTTGCGGTGCAATCGGGGGGGACACGCCCTTTGTCGCCACGGTCAGCGGTAAGTGATGAGTGGTACGTGGTGAGTGACACGGGAGTAGTGACATGTGTGTAGTGACGCGTGTTGCATGTCGTATGTCCCATGTCGCATGTCGTATGCCGCGTGACGTGTGATACGTGCATAGTGTCCTCCACTGTTACGCCGCAAAATGGACTGCCTAAAATTTGTTCACAAAATGGGTCAGCGAGCAATGTGCTACATTTTTTGTTGTTCCCCTCCCAGGGGGGGGACAAATGTGGACGCTCCCTCAGAATACTTCTCCGGGGGGACTCAAATGTCTAATTCGTCCCACACAGGGGAGCGAAAAGAAAAAAAAAAAAAAAAAACAGACAAAAAAGCACAAACTTAAAAAATAAAAGAAAAAAACATAATTTTTAAAATGTCATTAAATTACAGGCGCGCAGGGGGGGAATAACACCAATGATAAAACAGAAAAAAGAAAAAAAAAATGCATGCCAGAATGGGCGCTATGGGCTGATATACAGCTGGCCCAGCTTCTTCAAACTTGACCGTTGGGGGATTGCTTGTGGGAAGACCCTTCCTAAATGATACCCCGTGGAGGTCATGCAAAGAGAGGGAAAAAATACGTCGCTTCCACACCGCTTCGTTGCCGCTTCGACGCCGCTGCGGGGAGGAGGCCTTTGGGGGAGAACGACCTCGTGCGCGCCCGCGTCAGAGGGAAAACATCTTGTCCAGCTCGTCCACCATGTCGCTCATCATCCTGTCGACGTTGTCCTTCGCCGCGGGGTCCTCCGCTGTGCCGTTCGCTGCGACGTCCTTCGCCGCTGTGTCATTCACTGCTGTTCCGTTCTGGGGCCCTCCCCCCTCCGAGCTCACTTCTCCGCCCTCGTTGCAGGGCACCGCCAGCCTCAGCTTAAAATTGCTGTCAATGTGTTGGCCATTTCTCTTGAAGTGTAAATATGCACGAATGGCCTCGCTGCGATGACTAAAGGAAAACAAACCGACCCTCCTTTCACTCTGCGTCTCTTCCTCATTCTTGTTCAGGTAATACTTTTGAAAGTTAAAATCGAGGAAGAAGGTTAAAAATTCCTTTTTTTCTATGTACCTTTGTAGCAGGTCAACGTTGTGTGAATAATTGGCCAAATAAATTTCGATGGCTCGGTTCCTTTCTTCTCCATCTTCCTCTTCTCGCACGTCTTTTTGGCGGTTTCTCTGACCGGGATGCGCGGAGTGCCTTCTTACAAAATCTTCATTCTGCGCTTTCATTTTTTTTAAATGGTTCCCTTCCCTCAGTTCCGCTTCCTGCTGCGCATTTTTCTTTTTCCGATTGTTCTTCCCGTTGCGGTAACTGCTCGCCGTGGGATCACGTGACTTTGCACCCTGTGCCCATTCGGCTGCATTGGTAGTCCACTTATTTTTTCCTTCCCCCTTCCTGGCCATCTCCCTTTCTCGTGCCTCCAATTTGGTTTTAAACGCTAACTTTTGCTTCTGCTGTGCATCAAGCTTTCTCTTGTCTATAGAGCGGCTCAGACTGATGTTACCTCTGATTGGGCCATTTTTTTTTTTTTTTGTCTTCTGCTCTGCGACGTATAGATTGTACTTATTCCTCAGCTGTTCGTTCATTAAAAACTCGTACGCGCACTTGAGCGTGTTGAAGCTGTCCGTCTTGGATGCGTTGGAAGAACTGCCATGTTTGCCACTCTCCCGTGTGCCGCTCCCCCGTGTGCCACCCTCCACCTTATCGGGGTGCACAACCAGCGCACATTTCAGGTACCTCTTTCTTATTAAATTTTTTATGTTATCCTTCCCTGCATCGTCGAAGGTCAGACCCAGGATTTGATAAATGTCCCTCCCGACCAGCTCCTTGGGAATGAATGAGCTGTCCATGATGGGATGGGCTAGGGGGTGATGAGCGGAAAGGTAGACGAGGCGCTACTCGGACGCTACTCGGACGCTACTCGGACGAAAGTCTCCTCTTGTCCGTCGCGATGTAACCTCCCGTTTAGCATTTCATCCCCCCACGAGGCACTCTCTTTTTTCCCAATTCGCATGCCGGCAGTGATAAGCAGCTTAACCCCCGGAGTATGATCCAGGTCGCGTCAGCTACGGAGGGAGAAGTGGCCCGGGGGGTCTCTTTCTTTTTATTTTACTCTCCCCCTCTTATCAGCATCAACTACTGCACGAGAAGAAATCAGATGAGCAGAAATGGAAGCCCCTACTCATTGGTTAGGTAAGAAGAATGGGAAAGCGAGGTGGTCAGTAAAACTTCTTCTTCTTCCTCTCGTGGTCTCCTCCTTTAAGGGGTCTTCTTCCAGATGGGGCAACTCAGCCGCTACGTCGCCACGTTGCTACTTTGCCACTTCGCTAGACCGCTACACGGATGGCAATCAGAGTACAAAAAAGGGGGTAACCAAGCATCGTAAACCTCTGGGGTGAAAAAAGAAAAAAAAAACCTGTTACGAAGTGAATATCCAGATGAACTCTCACAATCTGATCACTCAAAAATGGGAAGGTGAAAAAAAATAAAATGGAAAAGGGGGAAAAAAAGAAAAAACACGGTCGGGTGGATTTCCCCCTCTCTCTTTTTCGTTCCTCGCGTTATGAGCACACCCGGTCAATAACCCTTCGCGTGCGACGTCCAGCGCGGGCATACTTTGTGTTATGTATTGGTAGGGGAAGAAGCCACAGAGGCTGACCTTACACTCTACAGTGTTGCTGCTTGGACCAAGGGAGATGATCTCGTTACAAGAAGGCGAGCAGTGCAACTTCAAATGTCGACCTGATCGGTGAGGCTTTTTTTTTTTTTTTTCATTCTGTGGGCACTTGGTCCCGAATTGCCATTCCCCCATCTGCGCCTACGCCGTTAATGTGTGTCCTCCAAACCGGTGCCTCGAAAGAAGGGGCACAACAGGGCGGCAGCTGCAATGCGGTACGTACCAATCACTGTAGTGGAAGAAGGGCCGGCAAGCTACTTCTGCGATTGGTATGCTTTTTCCCCCCATAGATAAATATATACATATGGGCAGCACTTCTTAGCGGGCCCGAAACGGTAACCAATATGTTTGACCGCACAACGGGGGAAAAAACGACTCCTGACCGACAAACGTCTCTGCTCAGTAAGCGACCGACGGATCGGATGATTGGCTGGATTGGCTAATTCATCTCTTCACTGCTTAACTTCCTAACCCCGCGGCACATAAAAAAAAGAAAAAAAAAAAAAACGCAAACTGACTTGACTACACATAGCCGCTTCACCACCGTATAGAAGATATTCCGCTGACAAAGAAAACTACCTCCCTTTTGTGGTCACGGGGAAGGCCAAAGTGGAATGACTCACCAGCGCGCGCGCGGTCCTACACAGGTGATTTACCCGTGCATACATGTGCGAAAAGGAAGCGCCGCCACGTGGCCACAAAACGAAGCAACGGTTAGCTGAATGTTTGAAAATTGAAATAAAAAAAAAAAAAAAAAAGAACGCCTACATATAGGTGCCTTGTACCTGGAAGGAGAGAGGCTATTATATCCTTACCCCATTCCACCTGCTTAGCGCAAGGCATTAGGAAAGGACTTCAAAAAGGGAACGGGTGCCCCGTCGAATTTACATAAAAGGTGGGGAAAGCATCCTTTTTGGAGGGGCCTCTTCACTGAAGGGTTACATATTGGAAGGCATCGCGCCTCTGTGAAGCGCCTCCTCTTTGCGTCTGTTCGCTTCTGTTCGCTTCTGTTCGCTTCTGTTCGCTGCTGTTTCTTTCGCCTCCTTCTATGCCGCCATGCCGCGCACGGGAGCCAGCGAAGTGACCTTCGAGCTGGGCGTGGAGGCCCCCTTGAAAGACGTGGACGAGGAGAAACTCAAAGCCCTAGCGAAAGAGCAGAATGGCAGTTACGAAGATATGAACCTGAACGGTGATGAGGAAGGAAAGAGCCTCCACGAAGTGTTGCTAGGGTTGAATTATCACAAAAAAAACGTCACCAATGTTGCTCTCCTCTCACATATTAAAGATGCAACGATTAGCTTTGTGGCTGACTTGGAAGATGAACTAGTCAACTGCCTACAAGACGAAAGAAACGAATTCAAAGAACCATACGCAAGGAGTATGAAACTGAAGAGAGGAAAAATCCTAGGAAGCTACAAAAACAATATGATGCTGAATAGCCACCTGAATATAGACATCGGATTTGAATACAGTTTGGATACCAAGTTAGGAAGGAAGTCCAAATACAGGAACCTACCTCACTATCATAACCTATTCATTGTCTTACTAAAGAATCATTTTTTCTCCAAAGATTTTTTCCGTCACTTAGAGGAACAGAACTTATCCCATAGTGTAGACATTCGCATCAGTGTGAAGACGTGGCTGAATAACTCCAAATCAATCTTAGTCCTGACCATTCAGAAGAGGGAGAAACACGTCGGGAACATCCACGTGATTCTTTACCCCTCAAAGAAGGTCACCTCGAGTCTGCTGCACGTGTATAGGAAGTGCTATGCAGGCTGGGTGGAGAGGAGCCCCTCTCAGATAGAGGAAAAAACAAATGCGGGGGAGGCCAAGGGGAAGAAAAAGAAAAATGGAAAAAATGCTAAAAATGGGAAGGCAGCAGAGAAGGGCACAGAAAAGGGAACCGAAAAGGAAGCAGAAAAGGGAACAGAGAAAGGAACGGCTGGACGGGCAACAAAATCCGGAGATATAACACCTGCAGAGGAAGATCAACTGAGGAAAAAAATAAAAAACTTATGCATTAGAAGGACCATTTTGAAAAAATTCCTACTTACTGAGTGTCACTTGATTGAGTGTGACAATGTAATAAAAAGGAGTGTTAACAGTGTAGGTGCGTACAGACAAGCGGTTAAATTACTGAAGCTGTGGTGCCTCAATAGAAGATTACTCAATACCTTCTCTACCCGTGATGAAAGGGCTGACGGCAAACTTAAGCAGGGAGGAGAGGGGTCCACAATTGGAGGATTCTTCCACTACACCGATGTTAACTCCTTTGCGCTGGGACTGATCTGCAGTTACGTTTGTTATGAGCAGAACCTGGAGAAGTGCGACGCGTTCCTCATCTTTAAGAAGACGATAAGTTTCCTAAGCAGCATGGATTTGTGTCATCATGTGTATGGTTACGAGGACGGAGTCTTCAGCTGTTGGCAGCGGGAGAAGGGGAGCTCTTCATCAGGACAAACTCACGGGCCACACATCTTTCTCATCAATTCATTGTACGACCCATTTCAGTCCATTTTCTGCTCCCTGACTGAGCTGATTGGGGAAGCGAAGAAGACAGAGTATTCCCTGCGTTGCGGAAAAATATACGACGTGTTGGCAGCGAATTATGACTGCTTCTCTGTGAGCTACGAGGAGGAGGTGTTCTTCCCCCTGCTCGTGAGCAACCACCTACATAACTATAACGACGTGGTGATGGCTTTGCGGCGCAACTTGGTGCGTGGCTTGGCCGACCGGTTGGGCGAGGTGGCCGTCCGCCTGGTGCGATTCTGCCTCCACGAGGTGGAAGGGGCGGGAGGCGCGGCGGGGGAAGAGCACGTAGCGGAGGATGAGGGTAGAGCGAACGGATCAAACGGCGCCGCTCGAACTGGTGAGGAGGACAGCTGCACCAGCATCTGGGGAAGCCTCCCGCAGAGCCTCTTCCACGACGTGCTGCTCACGTGGAAGCGGCGCAGAGGAAATGCCGCTGACGTCGCTGATGCCGCGTCTGGCGGATCGAAGAGGACCCTGCTGAGGAGGAAAACCCTAATCGGAGTGAGCTTCTTCCTCAAGACGAACAACGTCATGCGGCTAATGGATATCTCCAAGGATCTATACACTCCCGAGGGGACCTCCCCATTTAAGCATTTCTGGGGAGACAAAGCGGCAATTAGGAGATTCGAAAACAACACCATTTTTGAAGTAGTTCAGTGGAAGAAGCCCGGCACGAGATTTGCTACGAAGAAGAGAAACTTCTCAGCTGCGTTAGCAGGCCGTTTAGGAGGTGCCCTACATGATGGGAACGAAAGCGAAACCGAGGAGGAGGACCAGAACGTGAGGAACCCTTTCTTTGAGGTGCTCTTCAGCCAGTTGTACGAGGGGAAAGCCCCCTCAGTGCACGTGCAGGCGATCAAGTGCATCTTACGCATGATGAGATTCAACGAAGCAGCGAGTTTGAAGCAGGGATTTCAAGAAAGAATGGATTCTCTAAAAAGTGACGATGCAATTCATATGTGCAGTGGAAAGAAGGTGAAGAAGAAGACTTTCTTCGTGTACCTTTCCTCCCCATTGTTAGTCAAAGATGCGTATTTCTCATACTACGAAAGTGTAAGCAGCTTATATAATGAAGTGAAAAATGTTCTATACAGTCTGAGTGAGAAGTTATTCACTGTCTGCAATGTGACCACCTCGAATGATCTCCTTAAGTGGACTGACCTGGGTTACAAGAAGAACCAAAAAAAAATCATCGACGTTGTTGTAGACATAAAATTTAACAGCGTTAACTACAAAAATGCACAGAACTTTTTTCGTATCTATGAAAGTGCCAAAGGGATCATCTGTAATAAGATTTGGAGTGAGGGGAAGAATCTCTTTTCAAAGGTAGAAAATAAAAACTTCTGTGTTGATGCCTCCTCGAAGTTAGTCCTTTTCAGACTATACATTTTTGTGAGCAAAGTGATTGAGAGGAATCTGATCCAGGTGACAAACCTTGATGATGTAAGAATTGAGCATGTCGATTATATGAACAAGATAAAGAACTACATATTCAGACCGTTAGTTTCGTCGTTTGTTTATTTTTACTCGACTAAATTTTCTTCCTTCCACTTGTCGGTGAAAATATGTAAGCTTTGGTTCATGTCAAAGGGTATCCCCTGCTGCGATGAGTTAGTCGAGAACGTCCTCTTTTACCTATACACGGAAGAGTTCAGGAGGCATGCTAGGATGAAGGCCTTCTTTTTGCAGAAAGGCCTCCCTGGAGGGAGTAACAACACCGTGCATGCACAGTTCCTGCGATGGAGCGGTCTTTACAGGAGAATCGCGCACCGGGAGAGGGCGGAAGAGCGCGCTTACTACCGCGCTCTGTGCGAGAGGGAGAAACTCCCCTTAGGGGGAAGCGGCACTGGTCTAAGCAGCCCAAGTGGGAGCGAGGAGGACGACCCACTCGTCATCACCGCTCCGTTGCAGAAGGGCACCACAGAAGTGAGAAGAGACAGCCCCAAAGCGCCTGCCTACCATGCTAAGGGGAAAAAGGGAAACAATAACGTACATCAGATGGGGAAGTCGAAAAAGGAGGACGCCTCATCAGGAGGAAGAGCGGCGGACAATCTGGATGACCCCCTTGATGCCATTGATGGAGGAGACGAATTCTTGGATTCCTTCTCTATATGCCCCAAAACGGCACTAACGAAATTTCTGTCCTTCCTCGTCAGCTACGATTGGAAGAACAGACCGCTTATCATGGATTATGACCATTGCCTCAAGGAGGAACATAAAATCAAACTGATAAACTCCTTTCATTCGAGAAGAAGAAGCAAAGAAGTGAAAAAGAATTTCTGGATCTGTTCACTTTACGACCCCCACTGTCTGCTGATCAGTCTGCCTCACCATCTGTTTGACTTCATTCTGTCCGAGGCGAACAAATCCCTCGAAATGGTAAAGAAGCTGGAAAACAATTTTGAGCGGGAAAATTGGATATCACTTTTTCTCATGGAGAGACGCAACTACGATATCATTTTGAATTTCCACCGTCCTGAGAGGTCCCTAAGCTTGTTGAAGCAGAAAATAGGACTTGCCGGGAAAGCGGAAGATGTGGACGGCGGTGCGGAGGGAGACACTACAACGGGGGGGACGCAACCAAGCTCGAATCCTCCCAGCAAGAAGAAGAAGCAGCAGAAGGAAGAAGACGGTGAAGACGCAAAGGAAAGTGAAAACTTACCAACGCTAGCCAATCAAAAAAAAACAACAAGTGAGAACAACACACAAACGCTGAACCATATGTATCGAATGGATGAAGCGTATGACCTGAGCTACTTGGACGATGTTACCAAAATGAAGGCAAGAAAAATTGGGGATATGCTGAAAGGATTACAGAAACATGAGTTGCTTCTTGTCTACAAAAGCTACTTCGAACAGTTTATTAAAAACGTTGAGGAGAAATTCTCCTGTCAGATAACGCTGCTGTACAATCCGCTGTGCTTTAAGGAAATTATGGACATTCAGTGGTTCCGGAAAAAAATAAAACGCAAGCTTCGTAAGGCACCAGAACAATATGAGAAGGTAAGCATGTCTTGGAGCCCAAAGGTATTCATCACATTTAACCCCGCCTTCATCAGTAACATCGTCCAGAGTGAGCTACCTGTGGAGATGAGCCAGCACACAGGGGAAGCACACGCAAGGGAAGCAAACGCTGGGGGAGCAAACGCTGGGGGAGCAGATCAAGGGAAATCTCTAAACAGCCTCCCCAGCGCGATGAACTCCTCTCTTGCGCTGACCAACTTTAACGCGTTAATTTTCTACATAAAGAGTAACGCGTGGGATCTTCTGCGTGGGGTTCATTTCCCTACCATGTGAAAAAGTAGGGGAGGGAAAATCGCCCAACGGGGACTCACGTCCCACCAGGACGTACGGCAGAGTTGCATGTTACACCGTTGCGTCTTGCTCAATTTTGCACACACAACGCATGAGGAAAGAGTGAAATGTTCATTTTTGTAACTCCTCCATTTTTACCCCCTGCGGCGCTGTTTTTCTTTTCTGCGCAGTTTTATCTGCGATAGGGCGAAGTGTGCTCTATGCGCCGCGTACCACGCCAGTTTAGCAATGAGCAGACCCATTCACACATCTTTGCATGCCACCCGCCCCATCCAAAAGACACTCAACTAGACCAATTGCGTTAACCGCTTAACCCGGCAGTATTGCAAAGGAACGAAGTGGACATAATGGGGAGGGCACCTTTGCAAAATATCCCCCGTAGAAGATGTTTCCAGCATCCTCTGCTGTGGCTACGACGTTGGCTGCCCCACTTTTAAGGCCTTCTTCAAACGCCGCAGCATATTGTCTGCGCAGCTGCCTCAGTTGTTTCTTCCTCTCTTCACCATCTACATGTGTGCAGTCCCATTTGACACAACTCTTTTGACACCCCTTCAACTGGGTTGGAAGCTCGCCAGGGTGATAAATGAATATACATATCGTGGACAGTGAAGGAACAAAAAAAGAAAAAAAAAAAAATGGGAACATAGCAGAAGAGAAAATGGGCAAAAGGATAACCCTCCTGCAAAGCTGAAACATTTTAAAGCATTCGTTCCTCCATTTTTTTTTTTCTTTTTTGCATAAACGCCACTACAAAACGGGACAACAAAAAAAAAAAAAAAAAAAGGTGGCATTATAGCGTAATGTAAATACGAGCATCCTCAGCACAACCGCTCGCATACTATCCGAGGCAGTCTTAATGGTCATCATTTCCCGAAACAGAGGGGAAACATAATGAGCAAAATATGACAGCTAAAATTGATCATCTGCTGGCGTGAGGGATCCAAACCAGTTCTCATATTTGTGCTCTCCCCGTGCGGCGTTCACTGGTTCCTTCGCCCTCTTCCTTATTCGTTCGTTTATATTTTTCCTTATGTCCTCTTACTATTTATTTTTTTTTTTTTAATTTTCCACTTGCGCGCGCGCCCTACGGGAAGCAAAAAGGAGGAATCAAGAGAGGTTTATTCACGGTAAAGGGCAAGTATAGGTAACGTATGTACATTCTCCTACCCCGCGAGTATGTGCATGCTATGAACACGATTTAACATTTAACACTTGGCGAATTTTAAGATGGCCTGGCACATGAAGGAAAATTTGCCAATTCGCTTTTTTTAGAAGTATTTTTTCCCCTACGTATGCTAATTTGTGTACATTATTTGCGAATTGTTTTTTTTTTGATCTTCTTGGGTGGACCGATCGTCAACTTTGCGCTAGGGGGGATGACCACTTGGCAGAGGGCATGGTATTACGCGTGTGAGCGGGTAAAAGCGTCACCGTCAGAAGGGGAGACGCTCGTTCGTTGGTATATTGACGCTTGCTAGGTTGCGATAAGGGACAAGCGACAAGCGAGCATCCCCCCTTCCCCCGCTTCCTACCAACGAACGGACAGAGCCCCTTCACCATGGAGGTCAACATGCGGCTGTACGTCCTCCTGAGCCACCTCGGGCTGGCCTTCATTTTAATGTACTCCTTCATGAAGTACAACGAGTTCTATTCGGCTGTGGTGTACCTGTCGACGGAGAAGTTCCCCAGGACGGTAAGCGAAAGGAAGAAAAGAAACAACGCGAGGGAAATCATCCCCGAAAGTGGGGGACCCCCTTGAGAGATGCACACCTGCCATGTATGTTCTATATGCCGAATAGGAGTGCGACTGTTCAATCTGTTCCCCTGACGTACCCTACATGTGTATAACCACACAGGAAGTAAATAAAAAAGTGTCTTTTTTTTTTTTCCCACCCCGACCCTCACAGATCATTTACAACTTCTTGTTGATGATTTTCATCATTCTGTGCAAGCTTCTGCTGAACATATTTATTGGCGAGCTGAGATACCTGGAGGTGGAGCAGCTGATAGACAACGCCCGGGCGTTTATAATGGACACCATTCTCTTTCTGGTGTTGTCCAAGCCAACAATCAATGGGAAAGAAGTATCCTCCATTATTTTAATTAAGTACTTATCCATCATCGTTATTTTGAAGGCTTACCACTTGGTCCTTTACTCCAGGGTTTCTCACGTAAGAGCTTCCCCCACGTCGATGCGCGTGGGGGGCGCCTTTTGAGATGCACAGCTTGGGTGCTAGCGATCAGACGGTCGTTTTTTCAGACACATCTTTACATTTCAATTGATTTCGATTCATCTCGATCCATCTCCCTCCATCTCTATCCATTTTTTGTTAATTCTCCCCCCCGGCAGATCTTCGAACTGGGAGTGCCCCGAACCAGAGTGCTGGTGAAGCTCTTCATCTTCATGTGCCTCCTGTCAGTGGCCAACCTTACCATGTTTACCTACTTCTACAAATACTCGCTAAAAAATTCGACCATGTACCTATGGCTCTTTTTCGAAAGCTTGAGCATTTTCGAGTCCTGTCAAATATCGATATTTAAATTTTTTGTGAACATAATTGACCTTAGATCAGCGAATGGATTATCCTCTAAGGCAACCATTTTATTTTTCCTGGACATCCTGCACGACATCATGAGCTTAATAATATTCTTGGTCTTCATCCTTGTGTTCATTCTGAACAACTTCAGCAACCTGCCACTACACATGACGGCAGACATTATACACGTCGTAAAAACATTAATATCGAGATTTAAATCATTTCAGAGATACCGAGAGCTGACAAAGAATATCGAGACAAAATTTGCCGATGCCACGGAGGAAGAGTTAAAAGAAGTTGGCACCTGTATTATTTGCAGGGATGACTTGAAGGAAGGCTCCAAAAAGTTAACCTGCTCTCATATCTTTCATGTGGAGTGTCTGAAGTCGTGGTTCATTCAGCAGCAGACCTGCCCCATATGTAGAACAGAAATAAAGCCGCCGAACAACAAAGAAAACGCACAGAATGGTGCCACGCAGAAGGAGGAGCAGCATCAGCGGAAAGAGGAGGAAGAAAAAAAAGAGCAGAAAATAAATCAGCTAACCATACAGGAAATAATTACCAAGGCTTCCTTTCTTCCCTGCGATAAAAATTCGCCCTACTTGAATGATCCTGCCGAGGGCAGCATTTTCCCCCCCAAAGAGGAGGACTGCGTCGTGTTTGGCGAGAACGTGGAGGTCAAGCAGCGCATAAAGATTCTGGCTGACCTGGTGAGACAGCGCTGCGTGTTCGCGTTTATTTGTCCATGAACTGTTCATACGTTTTTTGCAAAATGGCTAGTTTTTCTTTTTTTTTTATGAGCCGTTCATATTTTTTTCAAAATGGCTAATTTTTTTTTTTTTTACGATCCGTTCATATTTTTCTCAAAATGGCTATTTTTTTGCCTCCCACCCCTACAGTGCGACTATTACAGGGAGCTGTGCCTGACCTGCCTGAAGGAAATAGACAAGATCAACTATACCGCCGTGCCGGCGAATATCCTGCTGAGGAACATATACGGGTCACTGAATTACAACGTGGTTAACAACGCGGAGGAAGACGAGGTTAAGAAGTATTTGACGAAAATTTCGCATGTGCCCGAGATGAGTGTGCTTAAGAGCTACCTGGAGAGGGTGCTGATCGAGGAGATGAAGTACACCAAGGAGATTTGTTCGCTCATGTAGTTTGTGCAGGCCTCACGAGCACATCTACTTCTGCTCGTGTACATATAGATTGATGTGTACATATGCCGTTTTTGGCGCTCGAGTGGACGGTTGTTCCCACGGACGGACACCCCCCGGTGCAGACACAAATGTCTCGGCGAATGAGTGCAGCGCCAGTTTGTTTTCGTTTTTTTGTTCACTTCCTCCCTCCCCCCCATAATTCCTTCTCTCTATATATTTGTATACGAACATTCTTCCCCTTTTTTTTTTTATTTTTTTTTGTGAACCTGAATAGTGCACACAGGGGTGTATATGGTCTGTATGTATTTATGTAACCTTTAAAAGTGTAGGAATCTCCAAAAAGGAAAAAGGAAAAAACAAAAAACAAATTAATCTATCAACCTTAGGATTAATCGTTGGCAAAATGTTAATTTTTTATGTGTAAAAAGAGTATTACCCGAAAGTGTTTTTTTTTCTTTCTTTTTTTTTTTTTTTGCCCCTTTAGAGAAAGGCTTACATTTTTTCCCCCTCAACAGTTTTAAATAAAGACGATCTAGTTACCCACCCGCGCCCTAACGTTACGTCCGAATGGACGCGCCCTTTTGCAAACGTTGGGTGTACTCCGACCTTGCGCAGAGTAAGCGACATCGCGGCGACTGAGGCGACTGAGGCGACTGCAGCAACTGCGGGTACCACTTTGCATCCCCTTCCGTTCACACGGAGGGAAGAAAGCGCCGTGCCAGGGTGTGTTGGCGCACATGGCCATATGTACTTTCCCACGACGGATCATACCTCCGAACTCTTGCTGGTAAGTGCTCCTCTTGGGCTCCCATTTTAGACAAGGCGAAGGAAAAGAAGTAAAAAATGAAACAAAATCAAACAAAATAATATGAAATAAAATCAAGCAAAATGAACCAAAATAAGATCAAATAAACATACAAGCTTAAATGAGCCTTATGTGGGTCATTCTTTTTCTCCTTTCGTACTTTCACCGTGCTGGAGCGGCCAGCGGGTCAACCCTGTCGAGAGAGGTGTTCTTCCCAGCTGGGACGTTATAAGGTCGTCTGTGAAGATAGGCTAGTCCAGTATGAAGCCCTCCATTGGGCCATGAGGACACCTCTTTGTTGAGGGGGAAAAAATGACCGTATTCGAATATCAGCTAATTCCTCATATTTAAGACTGCGATTTTTTTTTTTTTTTTTTTTTTTCCTTCTTTCAAACTACCTAACAAAGCAGCACGTTGATGTGCACCAGAGCTATGCAAAAAAAGAGTAGCATACATTTCAGAGTCCCCCCGAAGATAATATATCGCCTTTTTAAATTTTGCAAATAAGAGGGACAAATTAACACAAAGTATAGTCCTTCCCCCATGGCCGCGGTAACTTCGGGCGAAAAATTTCCTCCGTAATATAGCGAAACATTAGCTTGTGCCTTCATTGCGCACATGTGGAGAGGTGTAAATATATAAGACGCACCCCCCCACACCGACTCCTCCTCTTTTCTCCCCCCTGCGACGATCGGATAGTCAAACATGACGGAGGGGAGCCCCCCAGACGGTGATGTGGAAACGATTGGGAAATCTCCCCCGACGGATAACTCCAAGAGGTGTAAATGCTCCTATAAGAGAAGAGAACTGGAAGGGAGTCCAGAAGCAGAAGGGGGAGACGAACATGATAGGAGTTTAAAAAGAATGAATTCTAGTAAGGACATCTCAGAGGAGACAAAACCACCTGACCTGGTCATAAATTATTACTACGAATGGGAGGACATCCCAGCAGTTGAAAGATTGCCTTATGGTTTAATTGGAAAGGAAAAAGAAGCTCTCTGGAAAAGTTGCCTACAAAGTGGGAGTATCCATTTGGGAGGGAACCTTTGTAATGAGACACCCCAAGGGGAAGACGTTAAAGTGAAGTGTGAGGCTTTGGGGGAACAAGCTAATGTGAAGTGTGAGGCTTTAGGCATTAAAGACGAGTCGAGTTTGGCTAGTGGTGCGCCTGAGGGTCAACCCATCCAGGGGGGAATAGGGAACTGTGCCGCTAACGGAGAAGCACACAGCGGGGGCGACTTCGTGGCGACTCTCATATACGAGGATATAGTGCAGTACATTCACAGAATTAAGAAGAGGAGATCCAAGCTGAGGTGCACCAGTGGGCACGTGACGGCAAACAGGGAAGAAACGGAAAAGACGGAAGAAACGGAAAAGACGGAAAAGACAGAAAAGACGAAAAAGACAGAAAAGACGGAAAACATGGAAAACGCAACACACATAGGGCAAACCAGCTGGATTGATGACTTCATCACGCTGACTAATATACAAATATTGGCGAAAAACACAAAGATGTTCACGGCGTGGGAAAAGTTGGAGGTTGTCCTTCCATACATAACGACCCAGTGCGGGAGCCCCCGATCCTGTTTGTGCAAAAAAAGCTTCCTAACGATGAAGCATCTCTGTATGAGCATTAAGGGTGACAAGTTAAATTTGTGTCGATATTTTGTGAAGTCATTCCCCCATGTGATTCGAAAGATGGACTCAAAGAATCACTTCTTGGACGAGTGTGCTTCTGACCTGATCAATCATTTTATGAAACATAGCAGTGGAGTGAATGACTACGAAATGCTGAGAGTGATGTGCTCCTTCTCAGACAATAAAAATGCATCCATTATAAAGAAGCTAGCTTTTTTTGTTTTTTTATTTTTAAAAAATTTGCCCACAAGTGAGTTGGTCAATTTACCCGTTCGAGACTTCGCACAGTGCTTCCTACATTTTATGAACGCGAAACTGGAGGAGACTAAAAAGTATATGAAGCAGACCTTTACTCTTCTCTTGACCGTACATAGTGAAGACGATTTAGTTTCTTTCCTTTTGGATAGAGCCCCGAAAAAGGGAAACGTATCATCATCCCTGGAGAGGGAGATACGGGCCTTCCTACGGAGTAGAAGCTGCGGTGACGCCTGCGAGCCGATCAAGAAGAAGTACGCCACGTTTCACCAGTTTAGGAGTTCCAAATCGCTCAGCAAGGCGCACAAGACATCGTCGTTCGTTCTGTAGCGAAAGAGGGGAGAGAAAGGGACAGTCTGCCCAGTTTGACGCAGTGTTCTCACTGTTCCGAAGGGGTCACTTTTAAATCACGCTTTTCCGATTTGGCAGCGTCAAATGGGGCGAGATGAAAGGAAGCTTCAAAAAGGGAGCAAGTTCGAAATGTAGAACTTTGCGAGGCTGCTCCCATCTTCTTCCCCCCTACTTTTCTTCCTCGTTGTCGTTCTCTTTTTTTTTTTTTTTTTTTTTTTACCAGTGATCGCGCCACACAAGTAAAGGGGGAGAAGATACACTTTTTCCTCCTCCCACGTGCCGCAAAAAAGAGAAAGAAAAAAAAAGGCAGCCGTTGTTGTGATGTATGGATGGGAAAAAACACCCACGGGTGAAACACTCCTCCTGAGGATGATACATGGAATTATTAAACGCTTGTGGCGTTTTCGGGATGCGGCTGTCGCGCCCCTCTCTGCGCAACGGTCGCCTTGCGAAGGATTCGTTGCGACCCTTTTTTTTAAGCGTTTTCTCTTTTTTTTTTTTTTTTGAAGTTTTCTTTTCAGAACAGTTTTTAATTTTTTTCTTTTCTTTTTCCTCCCATGGCATATGGAGAGGTCCTCTGGATAAGCCAGCCTCATTTGTGAGTAAGGAACTGTCGCGCACAGGAGCATGTGCTGCTGCGAACAGGCATGCCACTGCAATTGCTTATGTTGATGCCTCAGCGTACGTGAATGCAAATGTCATGAGTGTATGCCTTCTATCCATGAGTCAACAAACGGGCGGGTGGAGTCCTCTTGTGGCAGCAGTGGAGAGACTCTTGCGCTTCTACCCTGCGCCCTGGAAAGGTCGTTATCCAGCTGACCCATTCCGCAGGGGGGCCATTCTCAAGTACAGCACTTCTCACTGTGAATTTTTGTCTCGAGGCCATTCCCCAGATTGACTGCGAACGGCGCAAGGGGGGGACTCCCTGCGTTACGTTTCCGTGACCCGTGTAGGGGCTTGCCCGGTGGAAATCCGACACGTCAGGAAGAAGCACATCTAAGCAGATAATCCCCAAACCGCGCACGTGTATCCCTTTTTGCCCCCTATCCCGCAATGCCGCTTTCGAAGAGGAACGAGAAGGTTCTTCGCTCCCTAGCGAGGAGCGTGGGGAAGCTGAGTCAATTCTTTGACGACAACCAGGTCTGGAAGAGTCTCCTCTCCAACGTATATCGATATGACAACGAAAGGTGCAGCAAGTACAACGATTTTTTAAATGCATATCTAAATAGCAGTGTTCATTATTGCCCCATAAAGTCAAATAAGAAGAAATTGAGGGGGGAATTGATTAAATATTTGCGAGATAGTTTGAAGAATGGAGACAAGGAATCCACGGAGGATGTCTTCCTTGTGGGTTTTACTGCCATTAGGCACCTTGGAAGGGTTAAGAATTCGTTATTGTTAGCGTTGTCCTCCACAGGGAATCTACCCGTAGCGAATCTGCCCGCAGCGGAGAGGTACAACACCCGGGTGTGTGTGCCGAGCAGGAAGAACATATGGCATTGTGATGAGGAGAAGGATCTGTTTAGGAGGAATTTCCACGTGGTGAATTTTGGCGCGGTGGAGCAGGAGGACTTGTCTGGGAAGGGACCCAGCGGGAAGGGGAAGAGGCGCTCTGGGGCCTACAAGAAGGGGGAAATGGGGCAACCAACTGGGGGGGACGACATTGGTCAAGTTAGCAGGGGTGAAGAAGTGAGCGGTTTGAGTGAGGCCAGTGTGGGTGGAGAAGTCAGCCGTTTCAGTGAGGCTAGTGGGGGTGGAGTAGTCAGCGGTATGAGTGGGGCCGATGCCCAGGCAGACAAGACCAGCTTCCCCGTAAAGCGAACCAAAAGCAGCATCGTGCTGAAGAAGCCCAACCAGAAGCATGAAATAAAAAAGGGGATGATCCTTGTCGCCCATCCACTGACTTCCAGCACGCTGTGGAATAGATCCATCATTCTAATCACTCACAGGGATAAGAGCAACCTGGTGTGTGGCATCATACTGAATAAGCACCCCTTGTATAGCAGCTACATGGGGATGTCCAACGAGAGGGAAATTGTGAATATACTGAACAAGCTTTACTTAAGGAAGCGAAATTTTGTGAGTCAGTTCGCCGAGGGGGTTGGTGGCGGTAGTAGCGGCGGTGGTGATAGCGTTAGTCGTAGCGTTGCTGCAAGCGGCGAGGTGGCCAGAGCGACCCCTCCGGTGGAGGAAGAACCGCAAATTGAAACCCCCCCAAGTGATGCAACTCGCGTACAGACAGAGGGAAGCCCAGAAAAGGATAAGCATCCAAGTGTGGGAGCGGAAGAAGGCCTCGTTCTGCTTCAAAATCAGTGCATCGCAAAGGAAGAGGAGAAAAACGCTCTGGAAAAAAAAGATCAAATTGAAACGAGGAGGGAATCACGATGCGATCATCAAAGCAGTAGTGATGAATTTCCTACGCTGAAGGATCTTCAGGAAATGTTTTTGAGAATTCAGTTTAGGAGCTCTTCGAAGCATTATGCCAGCAGACAGAGGAAGCAGAAGAGTGTCCTCACCGGGGATGGAAGCTCTGATGGTATGCATGGCAGTAGGAAGAACAGCCTCTTCGTAATGATGGACGAACATCTGCTAGATATAATCACACACTATATTATCAAACTGAACAAAGTGCCAATATACCTCCGATTCCTGCCATCCTACAACATAGGATCCATCATCGATATAAAAAAAGAGATCAAAAAATTGCAGTTTTTAAATGAATTCTACAAAATATATTTTGAAAAATATAACAAATGGAAAGTCGTTGTGATTAATAATCGTATCCATATATTCGACAAAGAGAAGAAGAGAAAAAAGAAGAGGTTCTCCAAGATGAGTGTGCATGGATTGGAGGAGGCACACGAGGGGAGAGCCCTGGAAGAAACGCAGAAGACAGGCAAGCTTACGGAAGAGGAGATACAACAGATACATAGGAAAATAAAAAAATTTCAGGAGACCAATCAGTTGTGCGATGATGACGTGGAGGGGAACAACGAGCGTAGTGACAGAGGGGATGGCCGTGGAAAGCGTAAGGAGAGGCAGAAAGGGCAACGAAGGAAGAGCGACAAGAGGAAGTCGATGGGGAGATCCGGCGCTATGCAGCAACCGGTGGGCGCAGATGTGGAAGCGGAGGACGGCAAGTGGGTAGCGGGGGAGGATCAGGCTGGAAGTGAGTTTGAAGAGAGTGACCCGGAGGAGCAGGAAGAAGAGGAAGACGAAGATGAAGAAGAAGATGACGAAGAAGATGACGAAGAAGACGATGATGAGGAGGACGACAATGGCGAGGAGGCTGACGAAGTGGAGGAGGATGACCAATTGGAGGAGGAAGCCTACCAAAATGGAGGCAGTAGCCGGCGAGACAGACTCACCCAAGTGCACACAGCGCAAGAGCAAATGGACAGCTCCGCCTCTGCTAAAGGAACCCGAATAAGCAAAACGAAAGTAGAAGCAACGGTCAATGGGAACGATGCGGGCGGAAAGAACCACTTGGGGAAGAACCCCCTGGAGAGGAACCCCTTGAGCTTCTTCTGGCTGGGAGGACCCCTACCTGGACTGACCATTCTCCACAACATAAAGAAGTTTTCAAAAAATACCGTCGTGAATGATTTTATCTATGAGGGGTACAACGAGAATGTTAACTTTATGGGTTCGTCGGACATGCGTGAAGTGAATGACAGGCATGAAGTGAGTTCCAGGGATGAAGTGGCTACCGTGCATGAAGCGGATGGCAGGCCTGATTTCTTCTCCGAGCAAGGTGAACCCCTCGATGGAACGAAAAAAGAAAACCCCCCCACGGAAGTGCGCCCGCACAATGAAGAGAATCAACCCAAGCGGGTAGCCCCAGCCCATACGGATCCCATACACGTAGAAAGGGACAACCATAACAGGAAGGGGGAAGCCACCCAAGAGGAAAACAAACTCATTAAGAGATTCATCGGGAAAGCCACGTGGGACATAAACCAACTGATGGACGAACTGAACAATGACTACTGGATTGCGCTCAACTGTGACAGCAAGGAATTGCTCTCCAGCATTATTTTTAACACCGGTGGGAGTGGCCCCCCTGGAAGTGTGTACAAGGGAGAGCTCCTGTGGGAGAAAATCGTGGCCTCCATAAATAGCGACTACGAGAGCATATCAAAGATTCCCCAAAGTGTGATTGATTGTGTGCTGCGCGATTTCAGGGGCGTGGAGACTGACTAGTAGGCGGCAAAGCGGAGGGGCGCAGCCAGAATGGTCATTTTTCGGCCGCCTTTTTTGGCCCCCTTTTTTTGGCCTCCTTTTTCGGCCCGTTTCATACACGTCCCTACATACACGTCGTATCTTTTTTTGCCTCCCCGTGCCGTTTCCCCTGTACCTTTTTCATTTCTCCATTTTCATTTCTCCTTCCTCTTTAAATTCGGTTTGATCCCTGCGGCGAATAGGCAGAACGCGCACGTCGTAGGGCGCCCCTTTTTTTTGAGCATATTTTTCCCCCTGCGTATGGCTCGCCGACTGCGAAGTGGCCGTTCGTCCGTCAGTTCACTGAGCAAACACACAAAAAGAAAAAGAAAAATGCATAGTACAAAATGCATATTGCAAAATGTATATTGCAAAATGCATCCTAGAAACGTGAGCAAACAAACAAGTGTGTCTTCTTTCCAACTGATCAGCATAAAAGTCACATCCGTATGCATCAGTACTGTTAAATTTGGGCCCCTTTCAGGGTTCTATTTTTTTCTTCATTCCTCCCAGCGATTATATCTTCTTCCATGTGACGTATACATGGGTGGGTGGAGCAGATGAGAAGCGTTAACAAATCGCGTACAAGTCACGACGGCGCGTTGAAGAACATTACAGTTACAATTAAAGTTGGAGTGTTCCAAGTGGGAATTGTTTTCACCGATTGGAAAAAAAGGAAAAAAAAAAAGGAGAGAGCTCATCGGGGACACAGTATGCTCCTTATACGGAAGGGAAGTAATATATGCCCCCCGCAAAGATGCCCCTGTCGAGTTAAATCGGTTCCCCCGTTCGGTCGGAGGTGGCCATACACATACGCTAGGAGGAGTTACAAGTGCGAACCACACACCGAGGGGGCCATACAATTGGGGGAGTACACAAATAGGAGAGGTAACCACCTCGTGAAAATCTGGAGACAAATAGGAAATAAAAGGCACTACAAAAAAATCAGGTGCCGTGGGGGGTGATTGATCGGGGGAAACGGTCAGCGGTATTCATCAGGTGGAGCGGTATTCATCGAGTGGAGCGGTATTCATCGGGTGCACCAACGCAAAGCGGTACCACTTCTTCACGCTGCGCCTGATGAATACCGCTCCACCCGATGAATGCCACTGACCGCTTCTCCCCCTCAAAAGCACCGATCGGAGACCACCGCGTGACCCGCGTCGTCGTACTCCGCCCGTGAAACCCACAGCTGCTGGAAGGTCCCCAGGCTTGCCAGTATGGAACCTCCGAGCCAGGACGAGTACAGGCTCTCCACGGACGAAGTCATATTTAGAATCTTCATTTTGATGCTCTGCGAAAAGCACTCCTTCTCCCTGAGCGAGTTGTACAGTCGGTCGACGAGGCCAGGGAAAAGAGAAGATCCCCCCGTGACAATAATGGCCTGCAGAAATTCTTTTCGTATGTCTACATCGGACGATATTATACACTTAACTATGGCTTCCGGCAGTCCATTAAAATTAGGATCCGATGGGACGGCACGAAATAACTCCTCTGCAATGTCGTATCTGTATTTGTCTGTCTTGATTTTGACTCCATCGGGTAATTCAAAGAATTCATCTTCCTCTTCGTCTTCCCCCTTTTGCCATTTCTTTGTGTTAACATTTTTTGCACCGTTATTTGTTTGCCCGGAAGGTTCCACCTCCTTCTCATTCTTCACATTCTCTGTTGTGCTTTCATTCTTCTTATTAGAAGCGGAGCCATTCGGTCCGACGCGGACTCTGCAGATGCTCTCTTTCATGTAGCGAATGACATCGAAAATGGCTTCTTCCTTGTAGGAGGTATGTACATTGGGGTGGCATACGCCGCTACCGAAGCGGCTATCCCCGCTGCTAGTGCATGCTCGCCACGTCAACCCTTGCTCGTAGTACGGGACGACCCTCACTTGGTCCTTCCTCAGCAAAGTGTAAATCAGCCGGTCAAAGTAGTCCCCGCCAATGTTAAACTCGAAGGGGTTCCTCTGAAGAACGTATCCCTCATACACGGGGGTTAAATTTAGAGAGCTGCCTCCGATGTCGACAACGAGTGCACTACATCGACCTAAACTGAAGGCAGATAACTTGGCTTTCTTCGCAAAATACAATGCAGGGATGTTAAACGTCTCAAAAAGGATTTCTGTCATCTGTTCTCTTACTTTGTGATTGTGTATATTCGCTTCGGAGAGCAAAATTGGATGCTCCTCAATTTTTAAGTGAAGTCCACCTAACTTCACCGGATTTATGATCTCATCTGTGCAGTGGAAGACTCTCTTTGATTCTACTCCTTCAATTCCATAGTGGAGGATTTTCTCAAATACATCACAGTTCATGTGTGTTGTGTTGTCCACTGGGTTTCTCTCGAACAGGGGTTTTATCCGCACGTGTTCTTGCGGATTGTACAGGTTCAGCGGGAATTTCAGCTTCGGGGAGGGATGTCCACGGATACTGTCGCTCCAAGTACCACTTCCTCCACCACCGCCTCCCCCAGGTGATACCTCCTCCCCGCAGGTACTCCTCAAGAACACCCTGGGAGTGTCTTCCTGGTTGTGGCCAATTTTCGTCGTGCTGAACCCCAAGTCGACGACGAGCGCCGAAATGTCCTCTCCCCCGCACAGATGGCTTCCGCCCGCGTCATTCTTCGTGTTCATCTTTTTTTTTCTCTTGTGTGCCCCTGGGCGACATCATCTCGCAAGAGGGGAAGGAAGCCAAGTTGGGTAACTCCACCTCTATTTTTGGTCGCTTCCGTGAAGAAGCATTCCTACGTAGAGCGGTTCTCAGTACTGAGGTGTTATCACTTCCACTGTTTTGACTCTCTTCCTTTCGTTGCCTCCTTTTTTTTTAGCTAGCCCCCTCTGCGAGTAATGCTACACGTACGCACATATCCGTGTGCATTCTGCGCAGCTTCCAACTTTGAAATTATTCTTCTTTTCTTTTTCCTTTCCCCTCTTGGGGCTTACCTTTTTATAGGAGCTTTGCAAAAAAAAGCAGAGGGGAGGGGGAAAAAGCAACGCCTCACGCGTTGTTGTTACGGAGCCATTTTTTCGTGAAGCTTCGCGACATTATTTGCTCCTTTCGCATTGTTGTATGTGACTAGGTGGGCATCGGGCAGATGCGCACATGATGGGTTAGGGAAGCTTCCCCCGGGGGGGGTAAAAGTGTGGCACGTTTATAGATACAACATTGGGGAAAGAAAAAAGGAAAAAAAGAAGGGGAAAAAAATACTACATTAAGGATCGCATTCGTATTTGTACCTACTTGTCAAACTTCCCTTTTTTGTTTTTTTTCATTTTCTGGATGCAGGTATGCCCTCACATGTGTACTCACACGAGGAGGATATATGAACGTAGGGATATAGCTCCCCCCTCCGGCAAGAGGTGTAACCAATGCGTACTCGATCGAAAGGGGACCTTCCAACCATTTCGCCATTGTGGATCCACAGGTAATTTCCAAAGGTACTTGGAAAAAAGGGGATAAACAATAAAGGAGTCATCCTAGGAAGCACCTCAGGTGTTTTTTTTTTTGACTCGCCAAAAGTTCTTTCGCCCCATCTGAGCGCAACGTAGAGGTAGTCTGCACGATATAGATGAGACAGGTGCACTTTTCAGTCTTCTCGTGAAGTGGTGCCAAACTGATGATACCTTTTGACGCTCCTTTCTTTTTTACGAATCGAGATTCGCTAATGGAATAGATGATCTGTAGATGCATCTTTGGGACGTACCCTCTTGAGTGGAATTTCTTTGGGTGTAACTATACGTGTATGGTGTTGGTCCGTTCATCCGCTCCAATCTTTTTAACACCACGTAAAGAGAATTTTACGTTGCTCACGAGGGGAAGGAGAAGGGAAAGGTTGTCTTTTACAGCTGCATCTGACGCATGGGTGAAGAGCCGCCTAAGGACACGTCACCACCATTGATTGAACCATTCCTCGCCGCGCGAAAACCTCCTTGTTGCTTCCCCCATCGTGGCAGTAAGAAAAAGTGACTATATTGGTCGAAATAAACTCGAACAACGTTCACATGCGTGGTTAACTCCCCACTGTTTGCTCGTTAAATCCGCCGTTGGGTTTTCTCTCCAAGTAGTAGCACATCCGTATGACTGCAACATGGAGGAGTTCTTTATGCCCGCGTAACTCGGAAGAGTGCACAGAAAAAGGTGCACGGCGAAGGGTGTGGCATTCGTTTTTAAGCTCTAATGCCTGATCAACGGCATATCAGGTGGAACATGCACATGTCTGCAACCATCGTCTGTTGCTGCTTGCACATGTTTGCAACCCTTGTCTGCTACTGCCTGCACATGTGCAAATTTACTTTTCCCATTTCAGGACGTAAACTTCGTCAACTCGGGAGGCGACTCAGAAGGGTGAATAGGCTTGTACTTTAACCCAACATAGCGATAATTTCCCCAAAGTGAAGATAGTCTTTAGTGCAGTTATTCACTCCTTTGTGCGTCTTTCTTGTGTGTAAACACTCATGTAGCCATTTTGCAATTTTAGAAAAGTATATGAACAAATTTTATCTTTTTTTTTTTTACCCCATTTTGGCAGTATTTTGCCTGACTCGGCAAGGTAAAGGAGGTAAAAAAAAAAAAAAAAAAAAAAGGGTCTGCAACGGAGTGGCTGCCTCCCCCAATAGCTATCCCCTTTTCTGTTCTTTTTTTTTGCTCCTTTTTTTTCCGCTTCTTCCTTCCTGTTTTGCTTGTTTTTTCTTTTCTCCGCGTAACGTGAAGGTTTTCCAAATGGGCCAAATTTTGTAGACACATATTTTTCTAACCTTGCCCGTTCGGTCAAGACAGAGATGAAACGTGGCGTGGGACGTGGTGCCAGGTGCCAAAGGGAGGACTGTGCGGGCAGCCACAAGGAGGAACAGCTTCCCAAGGAAACCGCTCCGCATTGACGCGCACGTAGTGAAAAAAGAAAAAAAAAAAAAGAACAGTTTTTTCGTTTTTCACGCATAGACTGGTACACATTATGACATAAAAGATTAAAAAAAAGAAAAAAAAACTAAGGCAACGAAAACGCTCAAAAGAGTAGCCCATTTTGCAACAAAACTTGTCACCATCTCTGTGCATAACCCACGCTCCCCGCGTGAAAAAGAAAAAAAAAAAAAAAAAAGCGTCTACCCATATGCAAATTCTCCGTGAGATAGAAACCCCGTTCTACATAGACGCGCAGGAGGAAAGCTACATACCAATGCGTTGGGTGCAGAAGGAGTTTGTCTGGGATACTTTGCCTCTTCGCCACTATGAAGGCTGCGGAAAGAAATACGCACGTGAGTAATCGGAGGCCGCCCTTACTAGTGGCGAAAAGGAAAGGAGCGACAACGGCAAATGAGAAGGGAGCTATCCCCACTGCTCATGCAAGACAGAGCAGGCAAAAAGAACCAATCGAAGACGAACGAAAAGACGCACTAAAGATCAACATTAAAAGAGCCGCCGCCGAAAAAATCACCGACATGCCCGTAAAGCAAAAAGACACCCCAATCATGCGCCATAAAGGTGACAGGAAGAAAGACAAAGCGGTGAATGGAAGGACGAAGGATAGAGGAATGCACCGTACTGGATCCACCCATCGGAGTAGCAGCCATAGAAAGAACAACGCCGGAGTGGAGAAGCCGAACGTGAGGCCTTCCTCCCCCCACCTGAGTAGCAGTCATAGAAGGGACAACGCCGGGGTGGAGAAGCTGCACGTGGGGCATTCCTCCCACCACTTGGTTGAAAGTCAGCGGAGTGAAGAATCATGGACAGTAACAGCCGGCATCGCCATCGTTGGGGAGACCTCCTCTAGCAGAAAGAAGACGACGCAGGGGGGGAAAATCAAAAACTTAAAAAGGTACAAGGATTTTAACAAGGGAAAGAATATGAACGACGAAAAGGAGGGAATGAAAAATATCGTCACCTCATGCGAAACGAGAGTGAGCTGCCAGGGGAACAGTAAGCCTCCCAAGTTGGCGCCACTCACAGTGGAAGGCCCACAAGGCGCACCCAGTCCAACCATGTTAAGCTCACAAAAGATTCACTCACAGAAGAATCACTCACAGAAGATCCACTCACAGAAGATTCCCTCACAGAAGATTTCCTCACAGAAGATTCCCTCACAAAAGATTTACCCCCACGATGATATTCACATCATGAAGGTCTGCATAGAAAACCAAATGAACAGAAAAGAAAAAGTGCAGAAGATGAAAAATAAGATTCTAAAAATGTATAGTGACTTGTTTGTACATCATTTTAGGAGGAGCCAAAAATTGATTAAGTCAAGTGGCAATGCAGATTTAAATGTCTTCCTGAACAGAGAGAGTGTGCATAGCTTCCTACGGCTGAGTTATAAGTATGGAGACTATGACTACTGCGTGGGTTTCGTGATGGTCTTGCTGCTCGATCGTTTGACGAATGCAGAGGTGGAGTTAACTCCGGGGGAGCGGGACGATTTGGAAAACGCCGTGCGAGCGTACAACTATCACACGTTGCTGGCCTACCGGGGCACCTTCAAGGCGTATCACAAATTCGCCTCAAACGCCGGGGATGATGACGCGTCTGTGAAGAAAACTCTCCAAAATGGGAAGAGAAAAACCATCTGCAGTAGCATCCGGGCCATCATAAAGGACAAGTTCCTACTCAACTGCGAAGCGATGATAAACATGGTGAACTGTATCCTCTCCACGATTAATGAGGAGAAGGAAAAGATATATTACTCTAAGCTGAATGCAAACCAGTACAAGACCATTTCGGACATCACCGAGACGGGGGTGAAATATAAATATGAGCAGCTAGCTAGAGAGACTTACAAGAAGGCCTTCGAATTAGCGCAAGTACATCTGGTACCAACGGATGTGCATTTCTTGCAGCTGGCTAGTCGGTATATCTCCTTCCTCTATTTCAACGTGGGGCAGGAGCAGCTGGCCCTGGAGATTTGCACTGCCGTGTTTGATCGGACGACCGATCAGCTGACTAATATGCAGGACGAGGGGGAGGCGGACAGGTGCCTCCAGATTCTGAGCAGGATGCGATACAACATAAAGCGCTGGTCGAGGAAGCTCCACGGGAATAGCATCCTCTTCCTGGACTTCTAACCAGGCAGGGGGGAAGCATAGTGGCAGAACTGTCCCGTCGACTGCTTTGATCACGATAGTTCGTTTGGGCATGTTGTTTCATCGCTCTCCGTCGCAGCGGCTAACCAACGTGGGAACCTTTTTTTTTTTTTTTTCTTCTTTTTCTCTTTTTGTCCATTTTGCCACTCTCGCGTTGTAACAACGAGAAGAAGTTGTCACTTTTGTTAAAAAGAAAAATCCATTTCTCTGAAGAACCAAATGGGAGATGTGCGGAAGAGGTGCCTCCGCAAAGGGGGGGTGTTGCTTTCCCTTTCAATCGAGAAGGTAAAAAAAATGCCTCTTTAAAGATTTGCATAAGAAAAAGGTTCGACCACTCCGCGGGGGAGTTCACAATCTGAGTTGCCATCCCTCGTGGGGGGAAAAACGAAAAAAGGGAAAAAACAAACGTAGGCGAAATGTGGGGCTGATGTGGGGCTGATGTGGGGCTGATGTGGGGCTGATGTGGGGCTGATGTGGGGCTGATGTAGGGCAACTGTGACGGGCGAGGGGGAAGGTAAAAGAAGGTTTCCCCCGTGTTGGAGGCCCGTGGGTCTACTTCTGAACATGGAATAGGTACTAACTCAGCGGGAAGGGGACTTCCACTGGCCGACTCGGTTAACTGCGCCAACCTGGTTCTAGTCCTCCTCGGTCGGGACATTCTTGGTGGCCACATTGTTGATCTGGACATTGTTGATCTGGACATTGTTGATCTGGACATTGTTGATCACCCCATCGGCCACCAACTCTTCTTCGTCGCTCGAATCTGCAACCAATTCTTCCATCTCACCCGCCTGTCCCGCCAACACCTCTGCGGCGTGTGGCGCCCCGTCCGGGTCCACGTAGTACGGGATCTTGCCCTTAATCCAATCGTTAAGGATGATCTTGGACACGGAGGTGATGTCGGGTTGGCCGCCTTTCAGCAGTTTGCCCATTTTCCTGGCCAGGATTTCGAGGAACTCCTCCGAGTTGTCGAAGTGCAAATCGGCAGGCAGTTTGTAGATTCGAAGCAGGTGTTCCCTTTCGACCATCTTAAAAACGTCGTCAATGTAAAAGTGCGGGTTGGTGATTTTCTCCAACCTCATGGTGCATCTGAGAATCTTATCCGAATCGTCAATATCGTAGGGCACAATTCCAGGGCAGTCAATAAGATAAATTTTGCTCGTAAGTTTTATGAACTGCCAATATTTCGTCTGACCAGGTAGGCAGGCCGATATGCAGACGACTTTTTTTTTTAATGAGTTAATAATAGCACTCTTTCCAACGTTGGGGTACCCAATCAATCCGATGTGAATGTGTTTCTTCCTCTGGTCTTGAAAGAACTGCGTGTATTGTCTGATCACATTAAAGAGGTCATTCTTTCCAAACGGCTTGTTTATGCTCGCATGGTATGCAATGGTAGGATACTCTTTGGATAAAATTTTGATCCATTTTTGAGCCACACTGGTTGGTACTAAGTCTACTTTATTGACAATAAGAATGATGTGCTTATTTGCTCTGTCTTTTTTTAAATTTTCCTCTAGCCTTCTGCATCTAGTTCCTATGGGATCACGTGCATCTAGAACTTCTAAGATGATATCCGAGCTGTCTATCACTTTGTACAGCTCCGCCCATATTCTTTTGGACTGTCCAATTTTGAGGAGGAGATCCTTACTGAATTTTTTTTCCACTTCTTTGTTTCTACTCTCGATTAGCGAGTTGTCCTTCTCCGCCTCATAATTAGTTAACTTCCTTTTCGCATCATTTGCCAATTCTTCCAGGCTGCTGACATTTAATTTGGGTCTCTTCCTTTTTTTCTTCTTTCCGTACACGTCCTGGAAGTGTTCCATCCTGAGTAGGCTTTCGCTCTGGTGCTTTTTCTTTTCAAACTGGGGTGCGCACATGAGTTCATTTTTTCCGTTGCCTCCGCTAACCCCGCAGACGCCGCTACCCCCCACCCCTCTGATCAGCTCGACCGGAATTTTTGACCTCTTAATCACCACGCTGAACGGGTCGTGCGTGGCCTCCTCCATTTTGTCCCTGAAAATCTCCAGCTTGCTCTGGCTAATCGTCCTCGTGTTGTTAAACCACTTTATGTTCGGTTCGATCCTCCTGACTTCATTTATCTTGGCGTTCATTTTTTTCAAGTTTGCCTTTGTCCTGTACATTTTGAGCCTCTTCTGCTTCTCGTCATTCTTCCTCTTGGTCTCATCCTTGCAGATGGATTTCCCCTCCACCTTCACGTTCCCCACGGAGCTACGCCCGATTTTCAGGCTCCTCAGCTTCAGGCTCCCCTTCTTAATCATCTTGCGTGGGGGGGTGGTGTTGTTACAACGGCTTTTTTGCTTCTTTGTTTTTTTCTTTTTTTTTTCTTTTCTTTTTTTCTTCTTACCCCCCTCTGTTGATCAAAAATAGTGAGCCTATTTGTACGTTCCGAAGGAACCTCAAACAGGAGGCAGGCGCTAAAAAGAAAAGAAAAAAAAAAGGCGGCCTCTTCTCTTAAGTTAAGCTGTTATCCTTTTGGATTCCCTGACTGACTTTTCCCTATCCATTTGCGATTCCTTTGCGATTCCTTTGCAAATGGCGAGGATAGAGGTAAAAGCCAAACGATGCGCTGCTGCATACAACAGTATGTTGTACTTTCCCTGGTTGATGGCTGCGACTGCGCTTTTCCTTTTCTCCCTCTTGCGTTGGCACACTCCTCCAAGGAGGTGAAAACAGCGGCTCCTCTACTGACTATACCTTTGCTGAGGAGACTTTTTCTAATTCAGTGGAAAGTTTATCACCCATCTCATGCCGCATTTAAGTTAATCGGCGCGCTTCAATGTGGAGTAGTGATAGAAGTGATTCGTAGTCAGAACGGATCGCCAATTTTTTTTGGGAAAAAAAAACTACGTACTGTTTGTGCGAAGCCCGCGCGGATTTTTTTTTTTTTTGTTCCCCCAACGTATCACCTATTTCGATAACGTACAAATGACCCTTCGCGCATGCCCTCATTGCGAGTGGAAGAAGGAAGAGGCGACTAAAGGTGAAATGAAAATAAAAAACGTAGAACGAGGCGCAGTGCGAATGCCCATTTTATGTAGCAATCGTTGCTTTTCTGAGGATGATCACAAAATGGCACATATAAAGAGGACGCCTCCCCCCCACCACCTGCAAAATGGGGTTATATTTTTTCTCCTCAGCTGTGAGGGGGAAACTAATCAAGGAGTTATCTGAGCAGATTACTTAATAAAAATTCACAGTGGTGTTCATTTCCTGCGCATTTAAAGGGCTTCATTATTTTGCATTCCCCCCCCAAATTGAGGCCTAATTTTTATGCCATCATTGCTTTGGGGTCTTCAACGTAGTTACTACGGAACGGTACAACAAACTCAGGTACACCTTCCGACTTGTGTGCCATCACCGGAGGCCCCTTACAACGCCTTTTCCTGAGAATGTAACTCCAAACAACTTCCTCAGATCGTGGCCCTCCCCTTATGTCACAGTGGGGATGTTCCTTCCATTTTATGCCAATCATTGCGAGGCAACCGCCATTTGCATGCAAAAATGTCCCATTCTAAAGGAATCCTCGAGTGAACATATTTTGGGGTGTATGCGCCCTTTCCGCTCATCACCATTTCGACATTGGCAAAGTTGTGAACAGAAGGGCGGACAGGGCGAGGTGGTAAAAGGGGGACAGACAATATAGAAACACTGGAATCAATGAATTGATCAATTCTGTAACCTGTGTAGCCTTCGAAGAGTTCGTAATTTTTGCACCCCGATTGGGAATAATTCTGAACAGTTCATACAAAAAGTGGTAAAATGACCAAAATCGCCTGAACGGTGCAGGTATTTTTGCCATTTATTTTATCTTCTTTTTCTTTTTTTGCAATCGTGTGAACTTCCAGTGAACCGATGACAAGTCCACACTTGCACTCATTTGTGTGGTCATTCTGTCGCATGCGAAGTGGTAGGTGAAGATAAACGTGCCTTTGCAAAACGGAACGGCAGTTAGGAAGTACGCGCGGTGCAACCAAAGGGGGAGTAAAAGCATGCACCGGAGTGGAGGCTGATCGAGGAACCTTTTCTTCTTCTACCCCTCGTGTGCACGCGGGGGATACGCACATGCGCGCGTTTCAGCGAGAGGAGGGACCTACATGTAAAGCTGCTTCAAAAAACGACATGCACTTTTATGGCACAATTCGGCCAAAATGGGGAAGCGGGGAAGCTGCGAAAGGATTGTTACTCTTGTGCTGCAAAGCGGCTGCTCCTGTTGTGTGACAAAATGGTTGCTGGTTTTCCCCCTCGCTTGCGCGCTCCATCACTGGAAGCACTTGTAAGGCGGAAAGAAACGTTTTGGGGCGACGTGGATTTTATTCCCCCATTTGTCCTTTGCACCTGTCGTAGGGGTATGTTCTCTTTTTTTTTTTTTTGCCATTCCTCTTATGAAATTTCTATGCCTCTCCGCCTACGCACAGAATGTGTCCACTGTGTGCACGCGTCGTTTTCCGCTCAACAAATGCAAGGGGCGCGAGAGGGTGGCCATGTGGCCACGGGCAGGCGCGGCGCATGAGGGTTCCATAACAGCCGCGCATCAGACATGCAGTTCTCGCGTAGTGCGGTGTATGCATACGCGCGCACGTATATATATATGTATGCCCCTACCCCTGTGTACGCATTGAATGGAAAAATAACCTCTGATGTTTGCCAACGGAGGGCAGACAAAAAAAGAACACTGTCCCGCGCACTCTATACACAGCCCCTGTGGTATTTCTACGCACGAAGATGAATGACGGAAAAACAAAAAGGGGAAACAGAGGAAAAAAAAAAAGAAACAAATAAAATCAAGTTAGAGGAAATCAGATCGAAAAAAAACGTAGAAACAAAATTCTTCCTGCCTCCTTTTCGCAAATTGCCCCTGTACTTCGCCAATCAGTGCGGCGTATGCGCGCATGGCGTTTTGTGGGCATCCTAAAGGGCGTGTCAAAAACGTGGCCAGGCAGTGTAGTGACGAAGCGACGCAGTGGTGACGCCCAGAAATGCTGGAGCCACGACGCGATGATGCGATGAGGGGACAGTTTTAACGGCAGCCCGCACTTGTTCCCCGTGGAAGTGCTGTGCCTTTTTAACCGATCCAACGCTCACAAGTTATCCCCCTTCAGTGCGCCCTAAACTATGCCTCGCGAATTTCCAATTTCCCTGAACTCACCTCTGTGGCGAGAAGACGCAGGAGGACCCCGCGGAGTTTTCATTAACATTATCCTTCGATATCCAGCTAGGATTGGTTGACCCACTCTGCTGGCCAGCTATGATTTGTTGACCCACTTCGTTGACATGCTTCGTTTCCCCTTTTACATCCTCCGCGTATTTCTTTCTCCTTTTTTCCTTCCACACTGAGCTTGTACAACTTTTTGCCCTCTCCTTCGGTAACTATTGGCGTCGCGCTAGAAAGCAGGAATTGCAGGTCACAAATTGGGGGGTGCAGATTGCAGAGTATAAATTGTAGAGTACACCTTGCAGAGTACACCTGACCGGTTGAGACCTGCAAGGACAAACGCGCGAAAGACGAAGCAACCGCCGATGTTAATGCAACAGGAGGGTTCGTGAAGGGGAACTCTCCACTTTGCACGCGTGGGAGAGCTCACAAGTCCTTTTCCCATAACTTCGTTAAATACAGTCCGTTGGAATCCCCTGTTGTGAATGCAAACGCGAGGGGGAGGCGTACATCTGATGAGCGTCTTCCTGATCGTTTGTCCATCGCGTTTCATAATGCTCTCCCCTAGTTGCATTCATCATTTACTTGCGTGGCTACCACTACAGGGGTAACAGTCACATAGGAAAAGGGCTTCCCCACGCCCCACTATTTGATCAGCACCTCTGTAATGCCCCTAGCCCATGAAAGAGCCAATCAAAGCCAAGGAACAACAAACTGGAGCAACGACAAAAAAAAAAAAAAATTTAAAAGACCACCCGCGTCTAGAGAAACGGAGTAGTTCCTTCTCATCCATGTGGTTAGCAGATCAGTACATCAGAGAAAGTCTGACTCAGTTTCAGCCGATTCTTCTTATCGCTCCTAAACAACCCCGATCAAATAGGAAAAAGTCTCTGCAAGGAGACGCCAATTTTAAGTTACCACCTCGACACAGAGACATAAGGCCAAGTAGAGAGCGCCTGTTTGAGGGTTCCCCCCCCCTCCACTTCTAGATGTAGACGCATAATTGGATACAGCGATTTAAAAAAAAAAAAAAAATTGCACAGCTAGTTGGTGTGGAAACGAACTTGGTGGCACGTCTCTGGTGTAAATAGGGCCAAAAATATTTTTACATTTTTATATTTCTATATTTTTATACTTTTTTTGTTTTTTTGTTCTTTTTTTGTTTTTTTTCCTGCCAAAACAGCATCACCTCATCGGTGTCGCCCATGAAGTTGCTGCTGTGTCGGCACAGAAGCGGGGGAAGCACAGAGGAGGACTTCCGAGTGCAGGCGCGAGCTCTGGGGATAAGTCGGGCAGGCAACGAGACGAAGGGGCGCAACCCCTGTTGGAGCAGAAGATATGCAAAGGAGGATCTACTCCAAATGGGGGGGAGTATAGCCATTGGTGAAGAAGGAGAAGGGAGTGCCTCCACTACACAGCCGAATGATTTGACTGCTCAGCTGAGTGACCCCCTCGTGGAGAGAACGACAGGGGAGGCAACACAAAATGCCCTCCGTGAACCCCCCGTTGAAGGAGGCAAAAACTTTTTCGGCCACTTCCATTGCGCAGACACATTTGCGCGAGGCAGCAACAGGGTGGAGGGTCACATGGAGGAGTCACGCAACCTCCCGTTTAGGAGCATTCGTGCGCATGCAGTTCCTCCCATGTGTTACCACCGAAGAAAGAGAAATAAATCGAGTTGCTTCACAGAAGGGGAGCCACTAACAAGTAGCGCTTATCTGCCAACTGGAGGTGGAAAAGGGCCTTCCATCTCGACGAAGGACCGTCGCCAAGTAGGTAACCCCCCTGCTAGTCTGATGAACAGGAATAGAAGCAGACTAGGGCGTAGGAAAAAAGGGAGAAAAAAGTTGACATGCATGGACCGCGTACTTTTGCGCCATTCGAAGTGTTCTGAGTGCCGCTTTATGAAGGAGGTCAACGGAACGTATAGATGCGTTAGGAGAAGCGGAGCGATGTGCAGCGTTGTTGCGTTTGCTCCCTTTGACGAGTGCACCATTGGGAAGGATAACCAGCAGGAGGACAAAGGATCCCCCCGCAGGGAAGATGATGTTGCGAAGGAGAGGGGAATTTTGGGGGGAGAGCACAACAAAAAGAGGGGAATTCTGCAGGGAGAGGACAGCAAAAAGGGGGGGAGCCCAAAGAAGGTGGGGCTGCGGGTGCACTGGGAGGATGGGAAAGAATGGAAAGAAGCCTGCTTTTTTGAGGGTGGTTCGTCTGGCCCAGATAGGGGACATGCCTGTCATGGGAGCTCCAACTCAGATGGTGCTTCCGACTGCACACAGTTTCTCATCGACGATGGGGAGAAAAAGGCCAAGGAGGCCTCCACCCCAGGAGGGTCTTTCCCCCAAAGAAACAGTGCTCGAAGTGGAGAAGAAACGTTGGAAGAGTGTGGAACACGCTTTGGAAGAGGAGGAGGGCCCCCTTACCAAAGCCATCTCGGAGGAGAGGCAACCTACAGCGAAGTCGGCGCATACATGGATGTGTTGAGAGATACTCTGGATGACTCCACGATGACTGACGACATAACCGATTTGCAACCAATCCATTTGGCAACGAAAGAAGGAAACATGGACTTAGTGAAGAAAATGATAAAATCAGGGATTCACATCGATACTAAAACGAGGACAAGGAAGTTTACTCCGTTGCATCTATCCGCATCGAAAGGAGACCTAGACGCTGTTAAATTTCTAATCGAGCATAATGCAGATATTAACGCTCTTTCATGTGACAACGAGACCCCTTTGTGGTGTGCCTCTATGTCAAACCATCTCGACGTGTGCAGATATCTTCTCACACATGGTGCTTTGCCTAACTTGACCATAGGAAGGAAGACGTATGACTCTCCTTTACATGCCGCCTCCATGATGGGCAACCTTGAAATCGTGAAGTTATTGACCGAATATGGGGCAGATGTTAGCTGCCTAGACTCAAACCAACTGGAGCCAGTGCATTATGCATCCTTCGAAGGGCATAAAGGGATCGTGAAATACCTCATTTGGCAACAAATCCGAAAGGCACTTCATACAAAAATGGACGAAATAGTCAACGCTATGCACAAATATGGGGTGTATTCCAAAGCGTTAGAACAATTTTACCTCCTAAAGTGTAAATCGTTTTATAAAAAAAGAATCCCGAGTAAAATACTGTGCTGCGCTATCATTTCAGGGAAGGAGAAAATCGTGGATATCCTTCTGAGGAGAGGTGCTGACCCAAATTATTTCGACGTCCGATTGCAACTGTTCCCCATCCATGCTGCTTCCATCACCGGCAATTTGACGATATTTAAAAATCTAGTCAGAAGCGGTGCAAACCTCTACTTGAGAACGGGGTGTAACAATTCAGTAATCGATTTGACTGAAGACGTGGAGATTAAACGATACATTTTGCAGCACTCGAGAAAAATGAATTTGAGGAATGCCTGGCTGATTAGGCGACGGAAGAGCGACCAGGTTGTCTCTCGCCTTTCCCCCGACGCGTTTTACTACGTCTGCACGTTTTTCTGACGTGGGTGTAGTACCTCCGCTCCTCTGTGAATGGTTCCTCCTTCCCACGGTGTTGCCAGGGCATAGCTTCCCCGCTATACACCAAATGGGGAGACAACACAGTCTAACGGGTCATGCAGAAGAAGGGGACGGTCGAGTAATCGTCATCCCATTCATTGCTGCACTTTTCTCCAGGGTGGGCCAGCCCTGCACGTCTAGTTTGTCACCCGTTTGGGGATTCTCAATACGGGGGTATAGTCGTCCACTGGTGCTCCCCTCTAACCATTTCTCCTTTGGTGAAGATAAGTCCCTCCATGAAGTTCACATAAACTGTCACTTCAGCGGCGCCGCTTTTCCCTCGAGGGGCAGCCAGCCACCTTTTTAAGATTCTCACTAATTCATCCTCATCGATTTAATTTGTTCAACCTGTGTCTCTGCAGTTTGTGATTCACGTGTGATTGTCATTGTGATTGTAATTCATTTTGCCTGCATTATCATCTGATTCAGTTCGTTTGTGTTTTTACCTTCCCCAAGTGAGCAGCGGCATTCCTATACCGTCCACGTCAGCCACTTGCTTTTTTTTTTTTTTTTTTTTTTTTTTTTTTTTTTTTCCTTTTTTTTTTTTTTTTTTTTTTTTCCCGCTTTCCCCTCGTCCATGTCGCGGAGATTCCTTTTGTGATCCTGCCTCGCCCCTCCACAGATAAGCAGTGGGGGGCATTTTCCCATAGAGGGGGAGGGGAGCTTATTTAAGCTGCTCCATCCCATCTCCCATCGCTTCTTCCCATCCTACCGCCTATTGTTGCTACTCCCTCCTCCTAGTGCAAATGTCCGAAGTGTACAGCATCGAGCCCAAGACGTCCGGCAGGGTAACAATCTACACCAGTCTGGGCGAATTGGAGGTCCTCCTTTTTTGCAACGAGTGTCCGGTGGCATGCCAGAACTTCATTCAGCTTTGCCTAAACAACTACTACAACGGAAATAAGTTCTTCCGAGTCATTCCCAAATTCTTGATCCAGACGGGGGACCACACAAACACGGGGCTGCGTAAGGGAAAGACGCTCCGCCAGCCAAGCGGGAAGGCAGAAAATGGCCGTGCATGTGCGTTTGAATGTGTTTGTGTCTGTGCGTGTCTCTGCACATGTGCCTATCCATATCTGTGCCCCTCCCCACGCAGACAACGAATATGCCTTCAAGGAACCCTTCCAGAACGAGTGCAACCGCCGACTCAAGTTCCTCTACGCGGGATGCATATCCTTCGCTAACCTCAACATAGACAAACCGTCCAATGGAAGCCAATTCTTTATCACCTTAGACAAGGCAGAATATCTGAACAATAAGAACACCCTGTTTGGGAAGGTCGCGAAACACAGCATTTACAATCTGCTCAAATTTAATCAGATAAAAACAAACAAGAAGGATGAACCGATAGAGGATGCTCCCTACATTCGATACATTAAAATCGAGGAGAACCCCTTTCACCACTTGGTCCCTTATGTCAATTATGAGAGGGACGTGAAGGAGAGGAGGCAAGAGGAGACACGCCGGGAGCTGCCCAAAGAAGCGAAGAAGCTCAGGGGAAACTTGCTCTCCTTTGGCTACGACGAGGGGGAAGAAGCAGCCGAAGAGGGAAATGCGCAGGGGACCGAGGAAAGCCCGTCGGGCGACACCCTCAGCAATCGCCCCCCCGTGGAAGACGCAGCGAACCGAGCCCCCCCGGAAGGAGAACCCCAAAGGAGGACATCCTTAGGAAGGAGCAGAATGGACAGCAAAATGGACAGCAAAATAGTTGAGGACAAAATCGATAGGTTGAAAAAAAAAACAAACGACATTGAAAAGGACAAATCGAAAAGGAAGGAAAGGGACTCTGGCGCGAGGGACCTGGGCAGTTTGGTGAGGGGAAACGGGCAACCTTATTGCGGCACATTTATATAACAAAATGTGTACAACCTCGCACCTTAACAATGGAAGCGCTGCGAAGTGAGCATGGGGCCACTCCAGTTGACGCCACACCCTCATATTGTCCACCGTCCATCTACTCTTCTTTTTTTTTCCACACACGCAGGATGAGTCCTATTTGAGGAAAATAAGGAAGTACAACAAGATGTCCAAGCGGGAGAGGGAGAAGCAGGTTAGTGGCACAGTTACGTTAATCGGTTAATCGGTTAATCGGTTAAGCGGCCACGGTCAATCGGTCATTGATACCTAGCCACAGCGATAGCAATAGGCATAGACACAGCCACCACCACCCCCTCTTGTCGCTGCCCCATTTTTGCTCATTTCCTACCCCCTTTTAGTCGCTGCAGAAACTGCAAGAATTCGATAACAGGCTGAAGGGGCTCTTTTCCCACGACGGTTAGCAACCAAGGGGCAACCGTCGCGTTGTTGTGCGGTTTGTCGGTCGAGCTGTTCCACAAAAGAAGTGTAGAAGAGTGCCTGTCCGGGCACACCTATACGTGTAACCCCACACATGTCCACGTGTGCTCTTCTTTAGGAGAAACCAGGGAAGGGATGAAGCATGACTGGCTTAACACCCAGGGGTTAAAGTTCCGGATTGACTCCGCCAATGTAAGAAAGAATTTTTTTTTTTTTCACAAAAGCGTTATCGTGTGTGACATGTGTACATTGCACATGTATATGTTTTTTTTTTTCTTTTTTTCAAGGCATACGAACATGAAGACATAAAAAAGAAAGTACGCATTGGAGCCAGCGCGAGTTGTTCTACGTTCATTTGGAGACACCAACAGTTTTTTTTCCCCCTTCTGTACATTTGGCTGCACACGCTTTTTTTGTGCTACTTCCGTGTGGAATGTCACCCCTACGTGACACATGTTCTCTCCCCCAAATACTCCCTCCGTGTAGGTGACTAACCCAATGGACAGTGAAAACAAACGTCCCTATGATTCGAAGTTCAGCATGGAGGTAATTACACCTGAGAGTGTAGCAAACATACGAAATGAACAAATGTGTATGTCTGTGTGTGTAAGGGTTGCCAGTGCGACCCGTATGATTCATACAACGGTTTGCGCGTTGCCGTTGTTCCATTCCCGCGTTGTTATAGTCTCCTTTTTTTTTCTTCTTCTTCTCTTTCCCTGGGCAGAAATATATAAAGGACCAGCGGTCGAAAGAAACCCCCGCGAAGTAGCCATTGGACAAAGGAACGAGAGAAATTAAAAAAAAAAAAAAAAAAGAAAAAAAAAGAAAAAAAAATTGTCCACCCCCTATGTACCATTGAGTATATACCTGCGCGAATGTATATGTGTACTTAAGTGTGTTTCCCCCATTTGGCATTTTTGCGCGTCGTCCGTGTTGTGCTTTTGCTTCGTTTCGCTTCCTGTTCCTTCGTGTCGCTCTGTTATGATTTGTTTTGCTTTACTTTGCCTTCTTTGCTTTTTTTTTTTGTGTTCCCCCTTGTGCGCCACTCCAATCGCTTCACCTTTTTTTACAATTTTTTTAAACCGCAAGGAAACTTTCGCGCCGAACAGAAAAAAAAAGAAAAGTGTGTTCATTCATATCCGCATTTTTTTTGTGAAAGAAGGAAAGTGGAGTCCTCTTTCCTTGGTTTCTTCTTCGCCGTTCTTCTTTCTGTTTTCCTTCTGCAAAAACACTCAGACGCACGACGCGAATGCTCCGAGTGAGTCCGCACCCCCTGAAGTGTGCAACTGTCGCTCGTCCCCAGGACAATTCTACGTGGCGACTTGGGTTGGCGTGATTTCACTCAATTGGATGATATTCTGTTTGATCATACTTTGTTTGGTTCCATTTTGTTTGATTTGGTCTGATATGATCTGATTTTGTTTCATTCGGTTTAGTTTACTTTGCTTTGCTTCCCTGTTTTCTTTTTTTTTTTCCTGTCCGCCATCTCATCCCCCCCTTCAGTCCCAAATGAAAGATGTGAAAGTCAAGGACACCGTCATGGTATACGGCTACAAGGCCACAATAGAACACATAGAAGAGGTCCCAGGGGGAAAGGCTTCCCCCGAGACGAGAAAAATTTACGCAGCGAAGTTCAGCGATAGAGATGGCTACACAGATGGTGTGTACAAGAACGAACGGGTGTTCACTCCGGAAGATGGAGCCCTCGTCGTGTTCTGTTCGCGCGATTCGATCAGACCTTTCAGTGGTACTGTTATATCTCCGCCAGCAGCTCCATAGGTTACATGGCGGGGTCACACGCGGAGGTTACACACCGAAATTACACGCCGCGGTTACACCCCATGGTTAGGGATCCCTTGTGTATCCTTTTCGCCTCGCTTACTTCATTTTCTCACTTCGATTGTGCCCATCCCCCGCAGAAAACGAAAGCGCATGCATAAGAATTCAAAGGGTGTACAGGGGACACAGAGGCAGGAAGGAATTCCACTCCTTGGTCTCCTCCCTTGTGTGGAGAAAATTTGAACACCTGCACGAAAATATGACTCTCCACAACCATGAGTAAGCGAGAGGGGAAACACGCCAGAGAGGAACCACACGAATGAGGAAGCACAGGAATGAGGAAGCACACGAGGGGGAGGTACCCCTCTCCTGTATGCTCCTTCCCACTGATGTACCCATGACTGGTCTCCTATTTGTCACCCCACCCGCAGCGAAATCTACAAGCCCCTCATCAAAGCAATAAACGAAGACATAAAGAATGGCAAGATTCAGTTCACCTCGAAATGCTTTTCCAGTAATTCGAATCAGTTCTCTCGCATCTCCACGACGTCCTACGAGGTAAGGTCTGACTTAAGCGTGGGGCTATTTTCTTTCCTCTCTGTCTTTCTTACAAGGGAAGGAAGAAGATGGGAAGGAGGGGCGAGGGGCTGTCCTTCCCCTCCTTAGGACTATTCTCCCTGCTGATTGTTGCGCTAGAGGCAGGATGGAATGATTTCTATCTCCGAGTAACCACTTACATATGTTTACTCTCCCCCCTGTTGCGCACCGCCCTCCCCTGTAGTCCAACTCCTACGACGAAAACGTCCCCAAGCTGAAGGACAAAATCGACAGAGCCTTCGCCCAGGAGCTCTTCCACTTCTTTTTAACGACGAAGAATGTAAGCGTGTTGGCAGTAACACTGCCACATTGTTATGTGGTAACTCGGTTACCCTGCCACTGGGAACTTTGGGAATGGTGTCTCCATTGCGGCGTCATTCCGGCGTTACTGTCGCTTTTTCACTGCCTGTTCTTCACTGCCGCTCTCCCCGCAGTACCTCCTCCCAAACAACCTGGTGTTTAAGATCCTCATGAAGACGCAGAAGATGCTGGAGGAGAACATTAAGAGCTCCGTGATACACGTGGACATGACGAAGAAGTCTAAGGATACGAAGTTAATCGTAAGGCAGAACAGGCGATAACGCGGTGTGATACGCGATTGGCCAATGCGGTTCGCTAATTCGGTGCGCCGCTCCACTACGTGATCATTTCATCGAGTTTATTTCTTCACAACTCTCTTCCCCCCTTTTCGAAGATTCTGGGAGACGTGCACGGCCAGCTCAACGACGTCCTTTGGCTATTTAACCGATTTGGCTTACCGTCCTCCAACAACATGTGAGCGAGGGAGTGCACAGAGCGGAGAGGGTTCCAATCAATGGGAGAGTAAATGACTACACAGTTACGTCGGCACGAAGATGCAGGCACATGCAAACACATACACACGCATATGTTCGCTGTCACATGATCTCTCTCGCCCCACTCCTGTAGCTACATCTTCAACGGAGACATCGCCGATCGAGGAGAGAACGCCACGGAAATTTTCCTCCTCCTCTTCACCTTCAAGCTAAGCAATTACGACAGCGTCATAATTAACAGGGGGAATCACGAATGCTCCTACATGAACGAGGTCTATGGTTTTTATAACGAAGGTAGGGATGTGCTTTTGCTTCTTCTTATGCTTCCTCTTCTTTTTGCACCCCTTATGGTGACGTTTGCACACGTCTACGCACTACATCTGAGCCACTTCTCTACCCCATCGATGGATGTACCTCTTTTTCCTTCCCACTTAGTCCTCTCCAAATACGACAGTTCCGTCTTCGATCTCTTCCAAGGGGTATTCGAGTTGCTTGGCTTGGCCGTAAACATTCAGAGTAGGGCTCCTATGAGTGGTGGCGCTTGGCTGACTTGGTTTGCCTCTAACACATGCAATCCGAAAGGGTGCATCCACATATATGTGTTCTTCTCCCTGTATGTTTTTGCTCCCTCCCACATCGTACTGCTTACTTGTGCCGCTTATTCGTGCCGCTTGCTCCTCCCTCTTAGACCAAATCTTCGTGGTACACGGCGGGCTGAGCAGGTACCAGAACCTAACAGTTCAGGAGATCGATGAGCTGGATAGGAAGAAGCATGAAATCCTGCACCCGGAGAAGTATGAAGACACCGTCATCTTCGACTTACTATGGTCTGACCCCCAGAAAAAAAACGGCATTGGAGGAAACGCACGAGGGAACAACTGTATCACCTTCGGGCCAGACATCACAGATATGTTTCTGAAGAAAAACAATTTCGACATTTTAATTCGATCGCATCAAGTGCCAAAAACGTTGAAGGGCATTGAGAGTCACCATGAGGGAAAGTGCATTACCCTCTTTTCCGCCTCCAACTATTGCAATAAGATTAACAATCTCGGGGCAGCCATTGTGTTCAACCAAGACCTAACCTTCGAGGTGCAGGAGTATATGTCGCCCTGCCTGGAAGTCATTCGAGAGACCTTCGAGGAGAACCAGAAGCTCCGCGAGAAGGTTCTTAACTCGTCGAAGATAGTGGACCTGGAGAAAAATGTACTCACGGGGCAGGCGGCACCCCGACTCGCTCCGCCTCACTGATTGGCGCGTCATCGATAAGCGCGTCATCGATTAATACGTCACACATTACCGCTTCACATATTACCGCTTCACACATTACCGCTTCACACATTTCCGCTTCTCCCCCCCCGCAGATGCAAAGGACCACCGACAAAATCTCCACGGAGGGACAAATGAATGACATTCTGAACTGCCTGAGCACGTTGATCTGCCATGAGAAAAACTCCCTCTGGAGTAACCTCTACACGCAGGACAAGGACAAGACGGGCACGGTGCACATAAACATATGGAGGTAACGCGAGGAGCAGCGTGGTGGTGTCTCCATCGCGCCATGCCACATTGATGTCGTCGCTACATGGGCTCATCGATACGTCGACAAATCGCTTCATCCGTTCATCCGTTCTTCCGTTCATCGCTTCACCACGGCTCCTGTCCCCCCAGGGAGGAGCTCGAAAAGCTGAGCGGGTCGAAGAAGGTGCCCTGGATATACCTCTGCAAGAAACTCAAGATGATCGAAGACAACAAGGTTCACTACAACAGCATACTTAACAGATTCAAGATCAATTATGAACCCAGCAAGAATTTTATCAATACGGAGTGGAAGAGTGAGTGCTTCGAGCATCTGTATGAGGCGTTACTCAAGGCAGACTTGAGTTTACGCGAGACCCTCATGGTGTTCGATAAGAACTTGGATGGGAAGGTCTCCTTTGGAGAGTTCGAGCAGGTGCTGAAGGATCTCAAGATAGGTAAGTGGATCAGATGGGAAGCGGTTATATCGGCGTGGCTCAGATCAACCGATTTAACTGCACCCATTTGTGTAATCCCCGTTGTAGCCACAGCGACTTCTCCATAGACCTGCCCTCCCGTTTGTCTCATTTCATACACGTTTCGCCTCGTACAGATCTCTCCAACGAGCAGATCCGCATCCTCGTCAGATTGATCAATAGCAACTCCCTATGCAACAAAGACAGCGCGCATGAGAATGACAAAATCGACGTCGCAGAGTTTATTGGGAAAATGCGAGTGTGTTATCGATTGGCAATAAATAAGGAATACATAAATAACGAGAAAATTCGGAAACTAATCGAGACCATCGGCAAGCATATCCTGGCTGACAGTGCAGACACAGCTAACTTCCACTATAAATTTTACGAGGAAAATGAGAGGGGTGGATCGGAGAGGAGGAAGAGGTCCAGTGTGATAAAATCTGTTGCCCTGTTTCAGAAGTTTAAGAACTACGACAACTTTGGGAATGGTGAGTCGCGGAGGGGGAAGAGGCTGATACACACGCTGAAGTGCAGCACTTTGAAGCTGTACCTCGTCGCCATCCTACACATCGTCGCAACATTACACTTTCATGCCACTTTCACAACGGCGCTGACCCTCTTGTAGGCTACCTCGATTACGACGACTTCGTGCGGGCGATCAAAAATTTCGACATGAACAAGATCAGCCAGGAGGTGGAGTTCGACGTGGACGACGAAATTCTGATGGAGGTAGGGGACCCTGCGTGGCTGCGCACTTGGGTCTCCCCCACGGTCACTGTTGCGGTGGCGTCTGTTTATTTATGTTCTCATTTGTTGTTTTGTTTTGCGCTGTTCTGTTCTATTTTGTTTTCTTCTATTTTATTTTATTTATTTATTTTTTTTTTTTTTTTTTTTTTTTTTTTTTTTTTTTTTTTTTTTCTTTATTTTTTTTTTTTTTTTTTTTTTTTTTTTTTTTTCCAGCTAGCCAAATCCATAGACATAACAAAGTCGTCCAAGATCAACTTCCTGGAGTTCCTGCAGGCCTTTTACGTTGTGAACAAGAGCAAGTATTCCTACGTGGACGAGGTAGGCGTGACAGCCGCGCGGTCAGCAGTGATGCGATTCACGGTCACACGATTAGCAGTGACGTGATTACCAGTGACGTGATTAGCAGTGACGTGACTGTAACATTGCTTCCTCCTCCCCGCCTTGCAGATCTGGTGCCACATATGCACCGTGATTTACGAGAACAAAGTGGCCCTGAAGAAATGCATGAAGTACCTCGAGGACACCATGCAGGGGAAGATAACCAGCATACACTTCCGCTACATTCTGATGGAGCTGAACAAAATCCTTCAGGAGCACAAGCATGAGAAGTAATTCGAGAGGAGTGCAGGGAAGGCAGAGCTGCCAGCGCGTCTGTCGCCGAGGTTCCCTGCAAATATGTGCGATGAGACACATAGTCATATGTATACATATATAATTTTTTTATTTTTTTTTTTCTTCTTTCTTAAGGAAAAAGCCCCTCACGAACGAGCAGATCGACCTGCTGTCTTACACCGTGGAGACGGACGACAAAATAGACTACATCGATTTTTTAAACTCCTTCAAGCCAGTGTACTACATATGACGCCGAAGGGAAAAGTTCGCTTCCCCAGTTCGGTTGGCATTGGGGAGCACTCCTCCAGGGCCGCTTCCTCCGTTGTGTAGCTGCGCAGGAAGGAAAGGAAAAGAGAATTTACTTCGCACCTGTTTTCACGTGTACCTACATGAAGGAAGCGAACCAAGCAATGCAAACTACGCAGCAGCAGCAACCAAGTTTTTTTTTTTCATTTTTTTTTCCTTTTTTTTTCCTTTTTTTTGTTAAACGTTACGTGTAATCCTTTGTGACATACGATTGTGTCCCCCCCATCACTGCATGTTTGCTTTAAAAAGGAGGAATGTCCTATTTCACCTCTTCCCCCTCGATGGCATTTATTTTTCCCCCTTAAGCAATCTACGTATTAACCAATGTGTGTAAAAAAAAAAAAAAGAAAACTCAAATGAACGAACTTGCAAAATATGCCTGAAGTGGTGGACGAGTTGAAGTTATTCCTAACCAACTTGGCAGTAACAGAAAAAAAAAAAAAAAAGAAAAAGACGGCAGAGACGACGACACCATGTGAAAGATGCACACGTGGCAACTCTGCCAACCGTAGTAATGGTGTCGCTGATGCGCGCTTGGCACGTGCATGGGATCTTCCTACCTGTGCACATGAACTTGGTCCGCTTCATCTGCTTCGTTCACTTCATCCGATTGTCCCACTTGGACTGAATCATCCTCATCTTCGCCTTCCTCTTCCTCTCCCTCTTTCTTAAGAAAGGGTCCGAATCAGTTGACGCGAAGGATCTTCTGAGCGCAGGTTGGCCGAAAAGATTCCTCTACCCGCGCGCACCGCAGAGTTGTGGGTGCTTTACCTCTGTGTGTACTTACCTGCCCACACACCAACGTGCGGTCATTGCACAGATAAAAAAAAAAAAAAGAAATTCGTGTGCCTTTCCTTTCGCAAAGGGATCGCCGACAAGTCCGTCATACAAAACATTGAAGCCAAACTCGGGGGGAGTCCCTGGAATGTGGAAAGATTGATAGAGGTAAAAGGAAGGCGCAAAAAAAAAAGGAAAACGGGAAAACACACAACGGGGGAGGATAGCCATAAATTGCCCCCCAAGACACCTCCAATTACTCGAAAGGAAACAAAGGACTCTGTTCCCCCCTCCCCACCGCATGCGTGAGAAAAACACACGAATGACTTCTCTCCTTTTTTCATAACACAGCTGGGCATAGATACAATTCAGAGTGGACATGAAAATGGAGACTACAATGAGGAAGACAATCAGGAGGACAATGAGAAGGACAATCAGGACGAGGAGGAGCATGAACTGGAGCAGAGGCAAGACAGCAGCGATGACTTGATTTCCGACTTGGGGAGTGCTCGCGTGGTGAGGCGCCAATTCGGGCCTCCCGTCGATGCGGAGAGTTACGGGGGTGGCGGCGAACAGAGCGGTGCCCAGCCGGGTGATGGCTCCTCCGAGGACTCATATGATTTCACCGCTAATCAGGCCGCTAGTCACACCGATGACCACAATGGCAGCCAGACAGTCCAGCGTTGTGAGCACCAGGGGGAGACTCCCATGAAAGAAGCAGACTTCTTTCACACAAATATAACATTGAAGAGCTGTTCCTCCATTGCAGAAGAAGTAAAGAAGCAAGCACAACAGAGCTGCATTAACCTTCACCCCGTGGTTAAAGAGTTCATTTGTTTGTTAGTTTTTTTGTTTGCCCGCATAAGGGAGGAGGGCGGACGGGCGGGAACTTCACGGGGAGACAACGCCGACCAGAGTGACGACCAGAATGCCGACGTCAGTAGTGATGGGAGCGGTGGAAAGAAATGCAACGGAGGTGGCCGTGGCAGGAGATGTAACATGGTTCGAGGTGGGCGCACGGGACCCAGCCGGTATGCACTGCTCCCAAAGGGGTCCACCGCAGAATACGAAGAGCACCCCCCAGATGTGTACCCGGGGAAGAGGAAAAAAATAAGAAAAATCAAATACCTGAATAGGTCTGGCCAAGAATGTGCCTCCATCTGTAAAGAGATATGCTGGAAGGAAGACCAAAGGGGGGAAGACCCTTCGTCGAATTCTAACGGCACCAATGGAGAGAGTGACGAAGAAGAGGGAAATTTCCCCTTCAGTGGGTACTCAAATGGAGAGCCTAGTTCAGGTGCACATTACAGAAATGAGCAATCCTCTCTGAAGAGTCCCAATACCTGCAATAGGAGATGTCACCATGGAGAGGACATGCAGTCTGTCCTGTTCACCTTAAACCGGAAGGAAGACGACAAATATCAATACAACGATAAGGACAGATATCAATACAGCATGGACGACATAGAACAAGCATTGGAAAAAGGAAATGTAAACAGAGTGTGCGAAAAGATCTATAAACACATGAAGAGAGTTAGCCAAATGAAGAATGACCAAATGACACAGAAGAACATTGACCTAATTACATCTCTCCTTTATTTGACTTATACTCATCTTGGATTGTCTCTCCTCAGATCAAGGGAGGTGTTCCTCAAGTTGTGTCATCTGAGAAAACAGTTTCAGAAATATAAGGAAAAAAGCAAACAATTAAAAAGAGAGTTGGAGAAAAAAGTCAAAACATACTACCAGAAGATAAAATCGAGTGAGGAGTGTACAGAGGAATGCGAAAGACTTAAGGCTTCTTACGAGGAAGTGAAGAAGGACAACGATAAGCTAAAAAGGTATGACTTTATTTTGCACAGATTGAGGATGAAGGTTCATCTCTTAGAGGCGGACAAAGTTCTGCTGGCCAAAAGGAAAGAGGAGCTGGAACTTGTGGTCAGACGGAAAGGAGCCTACTTTGTTGGCAGCAGGCAGGGGGCGGAAGTGAAGGCGACCAAGGAGAAGGTCACCCAGAAGGAAGTCACCACGGCGAGAATAACGAAGTTGGTGCCGAAGCGCCCCCCAGAGAGATCCGGTCTGATTCAGTACCCCTTCCAGAGTGACAAAGATGGAGACCCCCTGCCGGATGGAACACGAAAATCGGAGGACAACATTGGTGAGGAACAACAGGCGGTGAACCACATTGTAGAGATCTCCCCAGCTGATCAGCACGCCGGGGAGAAACTAATCTTCCCTCGAAAATCTGAATCGACAAAAGAAAGCGAAACGAAAAAATCAGCATGCCATATGGTAGAGAAATCCATACAAACAATGGAAGAGATCCAGTTTTGGGGGCACAGAATCAGTCGGTCTCATTCATTGTGCAGAGGGAAGGAAGAAACGGGGGAGTGCAATCCAGGGGGACTGACGGACTTAGGGGGCGGTCCTCCCTGTTGGGAAGAAATGACCGATGTGATGGGAAGTGCTGCATGGGAGAACCGAAGAAGGAAGGGGATGACCTCGAAAAAAGGAAGACCCAGTGACCGCAAGGATACCGAACGAAAACACACCTCACCATTCGTGAGGGATATCCTTCGGACGTGCGGAAGAACGGCACTCGTCCATGTGGAGTCCACTCACCTGGTGCGTTGTCTTCAGCTCCGTCCTCCGCTTTGTCTTCCACCCTTCATGAGACACGGGGGAGACAAGGCGGTGTTGGAGAGGTTCCATTTTGGTGAGGCTGCCCAGTTTGAAAAGAATCCTAACAGGGGGTGCTTCCCTGCAGGGGTGGAAGCGGCACTGAAGGTTGGACTCCCCAAACAAGTGGTCACTCCCCTGTGGAGGAAAACCATAATTGAAAACTTGTGTGGATACATGGTGAGAAGTCACCTCAGTGGTGGTACACCTGCTTCCCATGTGCGACTCCTTAACCAATTAGCAGATGTTTATTGGCGCTTTAGTTTATATGACGAGGGGGTAGACGAAATAGAAGTTGTGGGTGCCAACTCGATTCGTCGTGGTGTCCGTTCCTTCAGAGACTTCCTGGATCGACTCTCCTTCGAAACAAGTCGCATTCTAAGTCACCTCCTCTCACAGCAGGAGAGCATCGCACAGAGTTGGGAAGCCTTCATTTCTTCGTTCTGTTGCCATTTCTTTAGAGGGGAAAATGAGCTTCTTCTAACGTGCCATGAAGGCATGTGTGCAGAGGGAGACGACTCCAGTGTTTCCGCTTTATCCCTGAAAGGGGGGAGTGAGGACCGAGTCGGTGGGATCCTCAGCGATGATTACCTCTTTAGGGATCACTCCCTTGGCAACCAAATCTTCTACCCTAATGGCACCATCACAGAAGCTAACACATCAGAAGGATTAAACTACTTTGGACTCTTCCCCCCCGTTGGTGTCTACGTCCGGGGGGTGACTCACCATTGGGCATCTACCCCTCACACACAAAGGGGGGGAGCATTCCCATGGAACGAAATGGACCAAAGGGCAGAGACTCACACCAACAGGAAGGATTCACCACTTGAGGGAGCAGATCAACTTACTCTCCATAGAGGTTCCCCCGTAAAGGATATCTACCCAAACCATGAAAGTAAAAGAAAAAAAAAAGAAACCGTCTCGAGATGGTAACGCGTTTTCCATTTCTTCTTCATTTCACTTTCCCAATCGGCGCAGTACTCTTTACACCCCTTCACAAAGCACATATGATGCGAACCTCCCATCTGCAGGATTGACAAAATTCTACGTGGACACAAAGACACACGTGATGTACGTCACTGTTGATGGCACACTTGGGGAAGGTCAGCTGACGGGCCGCTCGCCAAATGAACATAGAGAATGGGAGTCCCACCCCCAGATGGGAAGTATCGCGAAACAGGCTGTACATCACACATGTCAGTGTTCTCCCCAACAGAGCAACAATCCTAGTAGGAAGGTTCTGCCCCTGGTATGGGAATCCCCTTTAAGGATGAAGAAAAAAGGAAGAGGGGTGGGACGCGCAAGGAGGAGGGGTGTTATTAACCAAGGGGGGTGGAGACGACAATTGTCCAACGTTGGAAACACCGGAGGGATGATCCATTCGGGGGTGAGAAACCCCATAGAAGATGATACTACTGAGCAACAATCCATACAGATGCTCCGTCCGTGCAGCTCCACCAAGAGCGACGTGACGTGGAACAGGGGTGCAGGCGCTGTGGTCAACCTGGGAAGAGAGGCGTGGTTCACCATACGGGGAGGAAATAAACGGTTCTGCTATCCGAATGGCAGGGGAGAATCCTCTCATGGGAGGATTTCCACTCATGACGGAGGTCCCCGCGACCGCAGCAACATTAACCACGTCAGTGACCTTATAGCAAAGGGACACCGTTATGGGGTCAGGGACGGAAAGAAGAAATTCCTTTTGGTGGGGTGGCGAAAGAGAGTGAAAGCCTGCCACCGGGTTTTGAGAGGCACCTCCAGAGGGGGAACACGGAAGATGGAAAAAGGTTACCTGAACGAGTGGGGCAACAGGAACCGGTCCTGCGAGTTGATAAGAAAGAACAGAATGTGGATCGTGGCAATTTCCCTGTTTTTACTTCTAATTGTCTTGATTGATTCGTACCTTTTTGGCGGATCAATCCTTCTGTCCCTCTTGTATTGTGTCTGCCTTGCCATGCTCCTAACCGTTTCGATGATTAAGCAGTTAATCCATATGATGCACGTCCCATTCAGTGAGAAGATATTATCGCAGGATTGGTTGGATTTTCTTTGTGTTTATTTCATTCGCATGGTGAATCATTTTCACCGCGGGTGGTATGAGAGTGGCGAGGGAGTCCCGCGACCGTCCTAGCGGGGTGCCCCCACGGGAAGAGCCGGGATGTAGGAAGGGGAAAAAATGCATCCCCCGTCGTTTTTTTTTTTCTGGAGGCCCTTCCTTACCCCCCCATGTTGTGCATTAGTTTTCTGCTTTATTGTGAACATTCTCATGAGATCATTTATCCGTCGTGAGGAGAGAAAACATTCGAAGTTTTGAAATGGGGGTGTGACAAGGTTTATTCAGGTGGGGTACCACCTATTGTGGTGTGACACTTGCTATTGTAGCGTACCACCTCTTACGGTGCACACATGTCCGTGGGTGAGGTGTGTATGTGAGGAAAAATTGCTTCCCTTTTGAGTCACCCGGATGGACGAAAAGGACGAAATGTTCCCCCCAATCGGAGGCAAATTTCTTCAGAGGGGAAGCCACCCTTTGTTAATCACCACTGGAGAGTTCCCCCTCATCAGGTGCTTCCAATTTTTCCCTTTCTGCGTCTTCTGAAAATGTTAGTGGGGACTCTACACCTGACTGGGTGTGGCACAGGTAGGGGTGCAATCCAGTTTGGGCATTTCTCTGCACGGGGAGGGGAGAGAATGACATGACAGGAATGGAATGTAAGAAGAAAAAAAAAAAAAACACAAATAAATAATCACAATACGAAGTCAGGGGAAGATTCCGCAACGGGGCCATGTCGAACTGCACAAGTGGGTGGCACCACCAGGACAGGGTGTGACGCGGCTCACCATGCTTGACGGGTATGTGCGGCCTTCCTACGCGCATGACGGATGTGTGCTGCTCTCCTACGCCCATGATGGATGTGTGCTGCTGTCCTACGCGCATGACGGATGTGTGCGGCCTCCCCACTCCCTTTACACTGCAGGTCGGCGTGCACGAGGAGTTCCCTTTCTCAGGGAGGACCGAAAGGATTAATGCCACAATCTTCGTTCTTCGCAGCTCCTCCAGATGTCTCTTGACGCTTCTTCGCAGACTGCGCAGATAGTCCCGTTGGGTGGTCTCCCTTCTTGTGGTTGCAAATTTGGTTGGGGAGGTGATCCCGGTGGAGCGGTCGCCCCCCGTGAGTGCCGAGTTTACCTTCCTAAATTGGCTCCTCAGAAAGGAAAAAATCGCAGCACAGTTGTCCAAAAGGTCCGTCTTAATGTTCGTTGCGAGCGGCATCTGCTCCCTTCTTTTGAGTTGAACCTGACGGAGGTACTCCTCACGTGGTGCCCTGTTCTCACTGGAGCATAGGAACATTTTTCCACTCTTCATGGCATTAATTTTGTCTTCTGATTTGCTCAGAGTATCCAAATGGGACAGGAAAAGTGGACTACTCCTGAGGGCATTCCATCCATTTGGCGATTCAAATCCCTCCGTTTTGATGTCGCTTCTTCCGTTGAGGAACTCCTTCACTCGTTGCGAAGAGAAGCTTCCAACATGAACGAGGTTCTCTTCAAATGTATGACTATCTAAAATTGCCTCCTCGACGCTAGTCTTATCTGTCAGGCTCATTTCACTTTTTTTTAATTTCCCTTCCTGCTCATCTTTCGCATTTTCGTCTGCCTCTTCCTTCGTGGTGAGGATGGAATATTCTCCTTCATGTGCTTCCATTAGTGAATGCTTTTCCGATGAGTCTGTCTTCTGGAGGTGGCACCCATGCGGACTCCTCCGCGCAGCTTCGCTTAACACTGGAGTAACAACCATTTGGAGATCTTCCCCCTGGGGTGGACTACTCGTGGGAGAAGACTCCCCTTCTTTAGTGACTTCCACCCCAGGTTGGTTCTTCCTTTCGTTTTTCTTCCTCTCCTTGGAGTCCATCTCCTGCTTAACCACACTGTTGTTGTTATCTTCCCCCTTCAACGAGATACCTACACCGTTGTTTTCCCCCTTTTTTCCTGCTCTCCTTTTATTGAGACACTCTTTCTGGTGCTTCCTCTGGTGAATCAAAATATATGTGTTGACGTGCCTCATCAGATTCTTCTGCCGGTCTATGTATCTTCTCAGGAGCGCTTCATTTTTCATTTCTTGCAGAAACAGCTCGCAGGTATCTGCGCGCGGGTAAGACTCAGGGTTGTATCTTCCCTTTGGCCTGAGTTCCCCATCTGCCGCATCTGCTTTCCCACTGATTGACCCTTCCCGCCGATGCTCCAACATTCTCTTGGCCCGCTTAAGAAACTGTACCAAATCTGTCCCCGGATGGGCGGGTGATCCTCCTAATACTACTCCCGCTCCTGCTCCTCCTCCTCTGACTGGATGCACCTCTCTAATCCTTTTTACCTCGTTTAAGATTTTCCTCTTCAGTCTGGTGATGGCCTTTTTGTACCGAACGATGTGGCACATTTCGTCCACCGGGTTGAGTTTGTCCACGGGGTCGATTTGGTGAGTCTGGCCGGGTTTGTCAGTCTGGTCCATTCTGTGAATCTGGCCGCGTTTCTCCACCGGGCCAACTTCTTTAACCTTTGCATGGCTCGGGATGCCCTTTTTTGCCCTCTTTCCTCTGGATTTCCCCTTCCCCTTTTTCCTTGGCACCGTCTGGGACTCCTGATCGCTCTTCCGTGGGAGACTTAGTGGTTCGTTCTTTCCCCCGGTTTTCTCCTCATCGGGCTCCCCCCCAAGGGACTTCTCTCCATTAAGAGGACTCTCCTCTGCGCTTTCCCCCCTGAACTGTTCTTCCTTCTGGGTGTCCATTTCAAAAAGAGTGGCAGGAGGAGAAATGTTTTCATTCCGCTTCACCGCTTCTCCCCTCCCAACTGTAGAATGTGTCATTCCATGTGTGTATCCCTCCTGTGTGTATCCCCCCCTGTGGACATCTCCGCCATCCCTCACAACATTGCAGCTTCTTCTCCCTCTGTCCTTGTCGTAGGAAGAGACGGAAGAAATTACATTGGAGGACGAAGAAGATGGCAAAGACGATGACGAAGATGAAGAGGATGACGATGGCAAAGAGGATGACGATGGCAAAGAGGATGACGATGGCAAAGAGGACGATGATACAGTGAGGATGAGGGAGTTCTCCAAAGAATGGTCAATCTTGATGTGTAAGTTGCTCGTGTGCCTATTTTCTTCACATGGAGGGGGAGGATCTTTCTTTGCTCCCTTACATGGTGTTTCCCATTTGGGGTTCTTAATTCGATGCGGTCCACTCCAGATGTCACTACTACAGCTGCTGCGATGGACGGAAACCAAATTTGGCCTATCGACGGGAGGACGGCCCCTTTGAAGGTTAAACCCTGACCCACGAGGGAGTCCTTCTCTCCTCCCGTTGGTCGTCTTCTTCATTCCCTCCCTCTTCATTCCGTCCTTCTTCACCAATTCGGCTGAGTTCACCACTTTAGTCCTCGAACCATTTCCCTCCCCGAGGCCCAAATTAGGACAGCTCTTCTTCCCATGTACCGCAGAAGGTACTAAGTCTATGGCATAGTGATTTTTAAAATCATCTTTCTGTTTCTTTTTTCCTCTTAAGATTTGCACTAAGCGGGAGGAGTTATTACTTCCAGAAGAATGGAGAGTATCTTTTCTGTGTCTTTTCATTTTATCATTACTTCTGAGGTCCGCTTGGGTGTCTTTTTCCTTCTTGCAGAGTTGTGAGCAGCGACGGTGTTGTCCGGCTGGACGTTCTCCTGATGTGTCTTTTGTGGTGATGGGTGGCGATGGATGGAGTTGCTTCGTGGTCTCCTCGCCGGGTTTTTGCGCCTCCAGGGGATGTTCCTCCCCGGACGCTTTCGTCAACTCTTCCCTCAGATCCGCCTTTAGCCCCTCCGGTGACGCTTTCTTCGGCACCAGCCTGACGCTCCTCTGCTGGGACCTGAGGCACTGCTTTCCTGTCCTGTGGGTCCCCCTCGCCGAGCTTATTTTTTGAGAAGAGGCATGGCTTCCCCTTTGCAGAGCGATCTTGTCTCCCCTTTGCATGGCGACCTTCTCCCCCCCAGTTATGCAAAACGAATGGTAGCGGAAGACATTTTCCTTTTTTTTAGGACCATCCGAAGTCCTTTCCTTGGAGAAGTTGGCTCTGCTGAGGCAGTGCAGCAGGTGCAGCTTGTCGCTTTCGGAGATGAAGGAGTTTCTTTTGCCCCCTCTTAATTTTCCCTCGTTCGGTGTATGCTGCTCAATTGGTTCGGGGGACCCACTTTTTTCATTTGCACCCCCCCCTGGTTGCAGCTTCTCCTCTTGACAGTCCCCTGAGAAAAGCACGTTGGTGTATTTTTTTCCTTTCATCCTCTGTTCGTATTTCTTAATCAAATCAAAGAGGTTTTTATTCCCATCGAGATTTACGAATAAGCTTTCTTCCATTTTTGGTTTCTGCTCGATGGATGTGTCTTCGGGGAAGGGAAGAATTGCGGGGGGGGGAGGTGCCTCTGCGCCGCAGAGTTGTTTGCATTCGATCTAGGGTGTTGTTCTCTTCACGCAAAAAAGGTTTAGCCACGATCATACGGATGACATAGCGACGATCTTGCGGATGGCATGGCAACTGACTCGGCTTGCACTCACACATACCGGCCGTGTCCTCATTCTGTCATTCTCTCTAAACCAAGGGACGTTGCAATCGTTTCTCCATCAATCGTGACAAGTGAGAAAAAATTTCAACCTTCATGGGGAAAGACAAAACAGAACTGCTACGTTAGTATATCCACATTTGCCTCATGACTTAGGGAGCGACATGATTTGGACTTTCGGAGGGAAGGGGAAGCTTCCCTATTCTTCGTGCGGGTTAGTGCAAAACCCCATGGTTGGTCTGATGACCTCCACAAAAATAAAATAAAAAAAAAAAAAAAGACCTGTTCCATTTCTGTCTTGCCACCCTCGGAAGGAAGCGATTGCATGTATTTCTAGAAGTTAGTCCCGTAGTTTTTTCTGCATGTATTTCCCCCAGTTTGTGCCCTTCCCCAAATGAAAGCGAGGAAGTAGGCTTCTCTAAATGGGTGAAGGGGCTAAACGACTAATCGGTCGATCCTCAACAAAGGGGGGACTGCACGACCACTATCACCATCACCCCCTTTGTCAACTTCACCCCGATGTAGCATTTTGCACGCATGTGTGTGGAATGGCATGGGCGTACACTTCACATGAAAATTAAGACAGTACGAACCTTGGAACAAAAAAGCAATGAAGAGAAATCTCACGCGCATTGTATGCCCTGTATTATGCCAGCACAGTTTGGCAGAAGAAGAAAAAAAAAATTCACAGCATGTTTATTTTTCCGCTTCTCCGAGGAGCATTCACATGAACAAGCAGCAAGGGACAAAATAAACATGTCATAATTTTTTTTTTTTTTTTTTTTTTTAATTTTAAAAAAAGAACTGTTCTGTCCACTTTCGCAATAGCCATATGTGGATCTACCTCTTTAACTTTTTTTTTCCTTGACGAACAAAATTGACAAATGGTGGATCCTTTTTGGGGGGAAAGTCCCCGTGCCGAATACGGTTAATTACTCGCCTTGCTAAGCCTTTCGGCGGACCTCAATGGAGAAGAGGGCTTCTCACAAGTTTGGGTCCCAGAACGGTTTAGATTTGCAAATGGGGTGGAGACTCCATGTGGAGACTCCGGTGTAGAGACTCAAATGGATTGCGAAAAATGGGCAAGATACTCCCACTGGTATATCCAATGCTGCGAATTCATTCCAGCTGTTTCCAGCTGCACCCCGAAATGATGACAGAGCGGGGGGTCACTAAGGCTCGACCGACCGGTCCTTCTAGCCCCCCACGCTGAGGGCCGATATGCCTACCAATGAGAACCTACCAATTTGGCTATCTACTTTGGAAGGACCATCTTCCCTTCTGTGATTCCAGCAGGGGGGGGGGTCCACTTCTTTTTCCAGTTGGGCCGTTTGGCTAACTCCATTTTGACTGTTCCTTCCCGGTTGCGTCTTTCGGAAGGGTCACGGAGGATCTCCCAAAATGTGTACATAAATAAATGTATGAGCCAAGTACATGTTCGTGTTAAGAACAAGCGGCCAGTTTCCCCCTTGGGGTGCGCGGACAAATAATCCCCTCGTTTTCTTTTCCTCACGACTCCCTACTGAACGGGGGCGCACGTGCAACAGAATCGACATATGTATGGCGAAATGGGAATAAAGCTCTCTCCATTGTTCCATCTCAAATTGGATGATCCTTCTTTTAAAACTGAAGGCTCTACTGGGCAATTCGATCTGCGCAACATAGCGGCGTTGGTTACGTTGGGGAGGTGGTAAACAATTAGACATTTTTTTAAGTGCGCATCATTGGCTCCCTTTTGGGCTTATCGCTAATTCAGCTGTTTCCCCAGAGGGGAGAGTTGCTCCCTCGTTACAACCTGCGACCATTTATCTACATATATTATGCATATCATCATTAATATTATTATCTCATCATCGTCGTCATCTTTGGTTTTTTTTTTTTTTTTTCCTACGCGCTGCGGCACAAGTTGCTTCGCCCCTGCGAGCTGCAGCCGTGAGCGAACAAACAGGGGGGAAGCCTCTCGTAGGCGGTGCAGGGCGACGGTGCATTCCCGCATGGGTCTCGTCCCCGTGTAGCTGTTTTGAGCATCCCCCCGCAGAGTTTGCAGTTACGGTCCGCATCACTCTGTAAGCTCTCCTCCAATTTATTTCTTCACCACGACGCGTTCTATGTTATCTTTTCCGTGCCACTTTTCTCGACACCATCTTCCACGTTTGCTCTATTTTTCGTGCTGTGCCTTTCCTACATATGTCATCCCCTGCTCTACCTGCCACCCTGTTAGAAAAGGTTCTCTGCCTTTTTTTCTTTCCCCCTCCAGCGTTGTTCTGCGATGTAGAGTGACTCCTTCCGAGCAGCGCCCATAGGTGCATACGATCATACGTACATAGGCTCATACGTACATTATACGTACTTGTTCCCCGGGTGACAGCGCGCGACTCACTCCAGCTTGACCTGGCTCGATTTATTCAGTGCTCCCCCACCTCCTCTTAGCACAGCAACTTTGCGGCGAAACGACATACCTACGCGTGTATGTCGCCAAACGCGCATGCATACAAATAAGGGGGAAGGCCCTGCGCGTCACGCACCTGAACAAAGGAAAACAAAAAAAAAAAAAAAAAAGTAAAAGTAGGAGTAAAAAAAAACAACCATCAGTCGGAACTGCAATGAGAACTATGCGCGCTTTGTCGCGTCTTTGAATGTCGCCCCGACGGTGTCCCACGTCATCGAAGCGCAGCTGCCTTGAGTTTTGTTTTTCTTTTTTTTTTCTTTCGAATGTGATATAAAAAAGCGTAAGAGAGTGGAAAAAGCCTCGGCCCGCAAAACTGCTTATGCGCGTTAACGTGTTCGTCTACGCATGCGTGTATGGGTCGCTCCTCTGTTTGTTTGTCCACAAGTGAATTTTTTTTTTTTTTACGAAAAAGTTTTATTTGCTAGAGCGTCCGGAGTGCCCCCCTGTTGTGTATATGCGTCTTTTCTGCAGAGCCTTGCGTGGCGAAGTTTGCATGTAGCGATTTCGCACCCTGTCGTTTCTCGGAGAGGTGTTTTGGCCGCTCGATCTCTTCACCATTTAGGCGCACTGCCGCACCGGCCAAGAAGGAAGCGGCAAAGGGCTCCCAAGCCAACCAATGTCTTCGCAAGGATGATGGATTTTCTTCAGTTTTTCATCACTCCAACACTTTCTAATTCGTATTGAGGAAAAGGAGAAGCTACTTCAATGGACAGAAATGCCTCTTCATTTTTGCAAAATGCTTTCCACAGTGTGTACAAACATACATGCATGTCACTGGTTTTGTTTCCCGCCCCCGTGTCTCCTTGCTCCTTCCTACGTTAAAGCTAGCACTCGATTGGGGCATGAAGTAAAATGGGAAATGCAATAAATAAACTGATTGAGCATTACAGTAATGTAGAGAGGAAGAAGAAAAGCGAGTACAAGTTTGGGAAGGTGTTGGGCTGCGGGTCGTTTGGGTAAGAGTTGTGGGAGCGTAGTGAGAGTGTCAACGTGCAGTGATAGTTTCTACGCGTTTGCCTTTGAGTGGTTACCCCTCATGCAGCCGCAAAACCCACCCCCACAGAGTTGTGCGAGAATGCATCAACAGACAAACGAAGGAAATATACGCCGTGAAGATCATAAAAAAGAAGAAAAAACACAAAAAAAATCTCAACTTTGAGAAAATGGTGAAAAATGAAATAAAGTACCTCTCCGTAATGAGCCACGAAAACATCATCAAATTTAAGGACTTCTTTGAGGACAAATATAAATTCTACATCATTCTGGAGAAGTGTGAGGGGGGCGAGTTGTTCTATACAGTCGTGAAAAATAAGTGTCTACTGGAGAGTGACTCCATCCAGATAGTACGCCAGGTGGGTGTGTCTTAATCGAGTTTCCCATTCAAGGCTTCTTTATTTGAGAAATCCTTTCTGACTTGCCTCCACATCACCTCTACTTCACCTCCCCCTCAGATCTGCTGTGCACTGGAATATTTGCACTCCAGGAATATAATTCACCGGGACATTAAGGTATGGCGAGAGGGGAAGCGGCGCCAATGGAGAAGTCATCCGAACGGAGAAGTTATCCCAAGGGAGGGTTCATCTAAACGGAGGAGTCACCTCAACAGAGGAGTCATCTCAACAGAGGAGTCATCTCAACAGAGGAGTCATCTCAACAGAGGAGTCATCTCAACAGAGGAGTCATCTCAACAGAGGAGTCATCTCAACGGATTTCCCCTTTTTTTCCCCCTCAGGCAGAGAACTTCCTCTTTAAAAATAAAAACACGAAAAGCATCAAGTTGATAGACTTCGGAATGGCCAAGAAGGTGAGCGCCAAACCGTCAGCTGGACGAGGGAACAAGTGAACAATTGGACATGTGGGTGATTGGACATGTGGACGATTGGACATGTGGACGATTGGACATGTGGACGTGTGTACCTGTGTACCTGTGGATGTGTGTACCTGTGGATGTGTGTACCTGTGTTCCCGTGGACAGCGCGTCCCCAGACTACTGGCACACACGGTTCGGCAGCCCCCCCAAACGCTGCAATTTTATCCCCTCTAGGTGAACTGCGAATACCTAACCGAATTGTGCGGCTCCCCCCACTACATTTCGCCTGAACTGATCAGGTAAGAAGAAAAAAAGGAAGAAGAAAAAAAAATAATAAAATAAAATAAATAAATAAAGTGAAGTAAAATAAAATAAATCCTTTTA